CAAGTATGCAAGGTCAAGTATGTAACCGTCTTTAAGTGGAACGTGCTACGTTGTATAATTATGTGTGTGAGTGATAGGGATTTGGCTGGGGAAAGTCTTCAACAGGACATTGAGAGCTTTGGCCATAAATCTGGGTGTTGGAATCTGGTCTGCTTGTTCTGTCTTGCGTTTTACTCTGGGAATGGTGCTCATGAAAACATGGCAGATTGTCTATCCACTTACTAGTCTTCTTTAAATGATTTTCCCAGCCCAAATTTAGTCAAATGATACTTTTGTGGTCTAATACAAACCCTTGATCCAATGCCCATGCCTATAGAAACTGAACAATACAAACATATTCCTACCAGTCAGAATCTGTTTTGGTTTATTTGAAGGAAGTTGTTATTGAGGAATCTAACAATCTAGAGTTTCCCAGAAACAGTTTTGACATTGAACTCAGTAACTTGGGAGAAACCTGAGCTCATAAATGCTCTTCTCGCTCAAGACTAAAACGTCCCCCTCGGGCGATCTTTCAGACATCTCTCTTCCAGCTTGGTGCAAGTCTCGCCGGGTGTGTGAATCAGGCACCACACCCTGCCTTTTCCTCGCAGTATTACTGTCGGTCATGTGCTGACTTAACATCTAGAAATACTGGAAACTCCATGCAGCTGTATCCGCTCATTAATAGGGCTGTTTATGTGTGTGTGTGTACAGAAGAACAGGATGACTCCTCTCTGAAACAGACAGGTTGAGATGTAGTGAAGCAGACCTTGTTGTGTCTCGGAAGAGATTGAGGCATCAGTCCTCGACACACACCCATAAGCACTTCTTTTGTAAAGGTGTGTGTTTTATGCATTCTTAGACGCATGGGCGTCAGTTTGGTTTGAAATGTGCTGGGCACAGAGACGCATTCGGAAGGGCATTTTCAAAAGTGCTGGGTACAATGGCGCATTCATTCTTTTTTTCACTTTCGAGTACGTCATGTTTTGAAAGACGATGTCCCGTAGCTTCTTAATGTACATAAATAAAAATGAGCACAATATCCGAGTATAGTGAGTATATAGAGTATATACACCCTTGATTGCATACAGTGATGGTCCAGAGGTATAATTTTTGCCTAGCGTGTCGGGTATCGGGAGGTATTCGCACTCGAATTTTTTTTTTTGTTTATGTTTATCAGTGTTTGAAACTTGAATTGATATAATGTTTATCAGTGGTTGTATATGTTTTGATGAGGGGGACAAAATATACGAGAGCGGATTGGAACCCATGATAAACAGGGACACGTTTGTGTGCATTTTGATTTGTTATTTCACCGGAACGAATCTCACGCGTTTCCGAGAGAAGACAACACATTTCAGTGCTAGATCGCCTGTTATTTAACAAACAAATGAAACGAATGCTGTTAACTGGAGATGTTTTATTTGCATTGGTACATCTGTGCCGCGAGATGTTTCAAAAGTGGTGGGGACAAAATCGACCCTGGCAAAAAGTGGTTGGGGACATGTCCCACCCGTCCCCCCCGTAAATGACGCCTATGCTTCAGACGTGTCAATAATATTAGACACTTGGCGCTCTATCTTGCACCCGGCGCAAATGACTTTGTACACTGACGCATTTATCATTCCTATTTTGCACTCGCGCAAAGCGGGCTTTTTTGACGAGAACATCGATCTCCTCGGCTGTGAACCGATGCTGAAGCGCGTCTGGTAAATGCGCCGTTAAAATAGAATTGCGCCATGGAACAACCGCACCTTGTTCATCATGCTCTTAAAGGGAATGTGATATGACGCTCTGATTGGTTTATTTCCGTTACGCCCAAATAGTGTACAGTGTACAGGTTTACAGTGTACTTCATAGATTTAAGTTATAGTAACTAATTAGAACTATTAACTTTATTTACCCAAGTTACTTGGAAACAAATCAAATATTTTGTATGCTTAAATTGTTTGAGTTAATAAACTTAAAGGGTTAGTTCACCCAAAAATGAAAATTAAGTCATTAATTACTCACCCCCATGCTGTACCAACCCCGTAAGACCTTCGTTCGTCTTCGGAACACAAATGAAGATATTTTTGATTAAATTTGAGAGCTGTATAACTACCACATTGGCTGCCTAAGGGACTGCCTCTTGACGGCCCAGAAAGTCGATGAAGAAAATGTTTAAATATCCCAAGTGACTACCGTGGCTCAACTATATGTTTATCAAGCGACGAGAATAGTTTTTGTGCGAAAAAACAAACAAAAATAACGAGTTTATTCGACTATTCCTTTTCTTCCTTGTTGGCCTGAAACGAGATTTCCTTAGATTTCCATGCGCGAGAATTGCTATCTTTTTCAACTACTTCAGTTCAGCTCTCGCGCATGCGTCTTATAACTTACTGTGTTTACTCAGCTCTTACGGTGATTTTCTGAAGTAAAACTGACGCTTCATCTTTTGTGTGATGTACAATAAACTTTATTAAACTCATCAGTATATGTTTGATCATCATTCGTACATGATCCGAAACAGCAGACTTGTAGGCTATTAATAAATAATGGATACATACAAGCAGATGACAAATACGTTATAATAACCGTAATTAAACTACTAAACTATAGCTGTTCCATCTCTATACAGCACTCTGACTCTGTAGGCATTAATGTCCGACTGGAAATGAACACCGTTACTGAGTTTCTGATTTTATCATCATTAAATAATCTATGACTTTGACTTTGGTCTGGGTGCACTTTATAGCTTCCTGGTCAGGACGTCACCGGCCTATGGCATTCCTTCATTGAGAAATCATTTGAATGGTTTAATAACCTGTTCTTGAGAGAACGGTGACTTTACCCCCGGTGTTCCCAGGCGGAAAACCAACCTTGCAACATGAGGACTAATGTCTCGGTAAGTTGGAAATAGAAGTCTTGTGAGAAGCGAGAACGAGCGAGAAACACGAACTGCTTTATGGCAATTCTACATAATTCTATGATACTGTCACGTGTATGATGTATTACCCACTCGGTAGACATAGCTCCACACGATAGAGTTGGCCGGCTCTGATAATAACAAAAGCACATGAGCAGCGGTAGAAAGTGGGAGGAAGTGAGGTTTTATGACAGTGTTGTGAAAATATATGCCGTACAGCCACAACAAAAGTGAAAATCAGCGAAGAAATGGCTAAAGTTGCCAAGTTCCCCTTTAAGGATAAAATACTCAGCAATGCTGTCGACAAAAAAAAAAACATTAAAATCATGATTTTCACCACAGGGGGACTCAAAATGCCTCATTTGGACTTTAAATGGCTTTTAAATGGCCCTTTTCATAAGATGTAAAATAAGTCTCTGTTGTCCCCAGAAAGTGTATGTGAAGTTTCAGCTCAAAATACCCAACAGATCATTTTTTACAGCATGTTTAAATTGTCATTTTTTGGGGTTCAGAAAAACGCTCTGTTACATTTATACAGTTTAATAAGAAGATATTTTATACACACAGTCAACTTCGCGAATACAGGAAGAAGCCATCTTTGAAAAATAGTCTCTACTAGTCGATCTACGAACGCCGATCCAAGTGCGCTGGTGAGATGTGAATAAGGTGATAAGGTGAGCGCGAACAGTAGGCTACGTGTACATATTGAAGAGAAGAAAATGGTTCGTGTTTGTGTTTCTTCCGGAAACAAACGGACCATATGAGATTCTGCTCAGTTCAGCGCACTTGGATCGGCGTTCGTAGATCGACTAGTAGAGACTATTTTTTAAAGATGGCTTCTTCCTGTATTCGCGAAGTTGACTGTGTGTATAAAATATCTTCTTATTAAACTGTATGGACACTGACAAAGTTCTCAATGCTTCAATTTGAATGTAGGGACCCTTGTTATGCTGTCATGTTAGTGTGGGGCTATTTTGAGCCTTGTTAGTGGTAATAACAATCGATTTTTATTTGTCATTACTCTATGCCCCATATACTAGCATTATACTAGCGTTATAGGCTAAACTGTTTTTAGAGATAAAACTATTTACATTCGGCAATCATGAAAACCAATCTCAGATAACGGTTGACTAGGTAACAATGCGTAATTAGACCAAAGGTTCATTTTGCGCCGGAGTTGTCCTTTAAGGGATACAATTATTCACTACGGGGGGACAAACATTTCGGACAATATATATTTTTTTCCATAATTTCATTTGAACAACAAATACTATTGGTTCTACAGTGATGCTGTGTAAGGTTACAGTCTTGCAGAGAGCATCAACATAATTATTGCTTGCCTACTACTAATCATAACATGGTGCAAGTGGTTGATCGAGTTCAGAGTTCTTAAGTCGACTGTTGTGATTAAAATTGTGTTGATGTCACTAATAAAGGATTTCAATTTTTTAGACTTTAAGTCTGCAGTGTGGTTCACCTATAACGTGGATTATGTGGTAATATATAGTCAAGGCCCATATATTGAATTGCCAGCATCAGCCGATATGTTTTCCTCTCTGCCAATAAGTGTTGTGAGCGGGACTTTTATTTTGACATTGCTGAGCCATCACTGTAGTCCTTTGTAATGTTCTCTGTTAATCGGCTGTTATTGTCCCCAGGTGTCTCGAGTTTCCATATTAGCCCTTGTGTATTTATTTATACCCATGTATTTTGTGCGTGGTCAGTCCTTTTTTGTTTATATTTCATGTTTTTGTTTCTTTAAAAGACCTGTTTCCTGGCGTTTTGCTTTGCTCTTTTCATTTTGCACTTTGAGCCAGATTCTGCCTGCCCTCTTGTCTTGTTACAGATATTTACTAGTTTTAAATTAAATACTGTGATATATATATATATATATATATATATATATATATATATATATATATATTGTGGTAAATATACATAAATATTGTGTAACCACACTGTTTTCTGAATAAATCAACCACTAATAATGAACACACAACGCAACAGGATCTCTTTATTTTCAAATTTGTATAATGGCAAATATTTTTGAAGTGAAGGTTTACTCAGGGAAAACACCTCATCCGTGTGTGATGTGATGTGTGTGTCTCCACAGGACTGATGGGGGTCACCGCTGTGTGGGACCAGAGAAGTCCTATCGCTCATGTAATATCCAGGTACACACTGAAAGCTCTTCTGTGCCTGAAGGAAATCAAAGCTTATATCTGATCAATTTATGGAAATGATATATTTAAGGATTTAATCTTTTTTTGCATTGTTGTTGATTTTTATTTTATTAATTTTTTGACATCATTAATATTTACACTATATGGTTGAAAAGGTTGGGGTCAGGAAGATTGTTTTTTTAAAAGGCTCACAAAGGCTGTATTTATTTAATCAAAAACTAATCTTGTAATATATGATTACTATTTAAAATAGCTGATTTCTATGTGAATATATAGTAAACTAATTTATTTCTTCCTGTGAACAAAGCTGAATGTTCAGCATCATTACTCCAGTCTTCAGTGTCACAGGATCCTTCAGAAATCACTCTAATATGATGATTTGCTGAAACATTTCTGATTATTATAAATATTATCAATACTGCTTCATATTTTTGTGGATACTATGATATTCTTAATATTTAAAGATTCTTTGATAATAAGAAAGATTAACAAACTGCATTTATTGAAATAGAAATGGAATTATTCATGTATTTTACTCTCATTTTCGATAAATATAATGCATGCTTGCTGATTACAAGTATTAATTTCTTTAAAAAAAAAAATCTTTCTGACCCCAAACCTTTGAACGCTAGTGTATGTGATCTGAATTATCTTATCTCAGGACTGTCCCGAGGGTTCCAGGGATTTCAGAGAGGAACAGTGCTCTCAGTTCGACGGCACTGATTTTCAAGGAAAGCGCTACAAATGGCTGCCATATTATGGTGGTATGTACAGACAGGAAGTGATTTTGTGTGTCAGGGCTGAATAAAGAATAATGAAATTATGGAATGTTGTACAACTGTTCATGTTCATCCTGCTTTTTACTTTTATTTTGTTTGAATTTCATGATTAAATTGACGGACTTTGTTATCAAAAGTAACGAAGCATATTGTGATTATTGGAAGTGAGGCGCAACAAATAATGTTTACTGAAGTTTTGTTCACGCATCAATATTAAACAGTGTAGACTCGATCTCGGTTCATCAAAATGAAGATTGTTTAAATTGAGAAATCTATATCAGCCCTAGCATGCACACAGCTGACATGTTTACCTGTTGTTGAAGCTTATTAACGGTGTTCTCAAAACACAATCAAAACTTGCCATTAGAGAAGCGCTAATTAAACATTACCGTTTCAGCTCAACAAATCTGTCGAAAATTAATTTCCGTCCGCCAAAAGTTCTGTGCATGACTAATAAAACACCGTAGGACACGTGTGCTATATTTCATGCTTTTTATGCGACAGCATTTCCAATGAATGTGACTTAGTTTTTGTTGCATTTTGTCTGCATTCTTGAAGAACATGTAGATCTAAATAGGCAAGGCAAGTTTATTTATATGACACATCTCATACACAATGGTAATTCAAAGTGCTTAACCATACACTGTAAAAAAAAATATTGTGTTGGTTTAACTTAAAAAATTGAGGAAACTAGTTTCCTTACAATTTTAAGTTGATTGAACTGGAAAAAGTGAGTTAATACAACGAAGGAGATTTATTTAATCATCAGAAACTCAAAATAATAAGTTATCTGAACTAAATAAATTATTTAAGTTGATTTGACAAAAGAAAAAATGTGATATTTTTTTACAGTGTAGAAGAAATGAAAATAAAAGAAATAAGAATAATCAAAGCAGCTTCGAATAAAAAATAAAAATACAGAACAAATATAGTTTGCACTAAAATAGTGTTTTATCTTTATGATGTTTTAGCTCTGTGAAAGTATTCTGTACAGGTGACGGTGCTGATGTTTAAGGGTTAGTTCACCCAAAAATGAAAATTAAGTCATTAATTACTCACAAATGAAGATATTTTTGATTAAATTTGAGAGGTGGATCACTGCTACATAGGCACCCTAAGGGATTGAAACTTGACGGCCCAGAAAGTCATTGAAGAAAATGTTTAAATATTCCATGTGACGACAGTGGCTCAACTATAAGTGTATCAAGCGACGACAATACTTTTTGTGCGGAAATAAAACAGAAATAACGACTTTATTCGACTCTTCCTTCTGGGCCTGAGACGAGAGTTCAAGAGATTTCCACGACGTATTTGCAAGAATTGTGTTCTAATCTTTGCTTACTCTACTACTTCTTGCGCAATTCTCTCGCATTTAATCAAAAATATCTTCATTTGTGTTCTGAAGATGAATGAAGGTCTTACGGTTGGTATAGTAATGGGGGTGAGTAATTAATGACTTCATTTTCATTTTTGGAAACTAACCCTAAAAGCCGTATCTCCGTTCCCTGTTCAGGAGAGAATCCCTGTGAGCTGAACTGCATTCCCAGAGGAGAGAACTTCTTCTTCCGCCAGAAGTCGGCTGTGGTGGACGGCACACCCTGCCACCCCGGAGCAAAGAACATCTGTGTGGACGGGCTCTGCAAGGTTAGCAATCCTCCAGGATACTTATTTTAACCAGCTTACTTTTGCATTCATGCATTTTATTTAAAGCCTCTTACATAGCAATTCGTCAATAATAAGCGTAATAACAATGGCAGTGCTGACCAAATCTAATTTTTTGGTCAATTTGTTTTTAATTTATCATAATAGTCGTTTCTCAATACTTGCGTCCTTGGTGGTTCGGACTTGCCAAGTACGACTCAGGAGAACAAACTCGAGAGGACGCAAGTCCGGTTCTTCTGCAAATCGCATCGCTCAGCACGCTCTGGCTACTCCGGTTATCTTTTTATATATATTTTAGGCAACAATAAAACGAAATATGCAACAACTCTGCCTCTTTTCGTCAAAAATAAAATGAAATATGTTATAAAACACCACTCTGCCTCATTTTATTAACAAAAAATCTTAAACATATGGCCATGTGGTTCAGGCAACGCGAACATTGATTATCTTTACTGCGTATATTAATAACAAAGTGAACATGATCTTTTTGTTTTCATTTTTAAAAATATGAAACATTATTGATTTTTATTGAGATTTAACAAACAGACATTTCATTTTTATTGTTTATATAATGTAAAAAAATTAATAAATATAAGTATATAAAATAAAATGACACAAATCTCTTTTTGTTAAATGTCAGTTTTAATGATCAATTATATCTAGCTTAAAAGGTATACAACAATGAGAAATAAGGCAAACAGTTCAAACATAAGCTCTCCAATAGGCTACCAATTTAAAGTTAAAGGGATACTCCACTTTTTTTGGAAACTCCACTCATTTTACCACTCCCCCACAGTTAAACAGTTGGGATTTACCGTTTTCGATTGTATTCAGACAATTTTTTTTTTTTAATATTTAGAAGAATATCAGTAACCAGACAGTTTCTGGTCTCATTGACTTCCATAGTATATTTTTTATATATATATATAATTTAAACCTTGTTTGTATAGTGTGTAACCACACGTTTATAAATATATATATATATGTAAAGATATTGTATTAAAAACTGCATATATGTTGTTGTTCTGTAAGTTAGCCATCTTCTCACATGTGCCACAGAAGCACCTGTATGACAAGTAAACATGACGCAACAGCATTGTAATTTCGCTTATACGTATCAAACTTTATCACAGTATGTGTATGTAGTTTAAAAAAATTGCGCCAACGTTAGTGTTTGTGTGTGTCTGTGTGTGTGTTGCACATCCATAATTTCAAAGGGGACACGATTACAACTCTATAAGTACATAAATGTATCAAGTAACCATACCGAGACGTATTGGTCCATTCTCATTTGTGTTTATTCTGCTGGAGTCTCTTCGTCATCTGGGTCTGATCAGAGACTATTTATTTATTCTGATTCAAACATGTACGGCTGAATGACATTCAAAACAGCGGGTCTCTCACTCTCAGCCCTTCTGCTTACCGACTGCCATAGGTATCAAGTTACGCCCTCATCCAAAGGCAGGGCGGGGATATGCAGCTCATTTGCATTTAAGGTGGTATACACCAAAACAGCTCATTTTAAAACAGGCCCCAAAAATGACATTTTCAAATGGTTATAATAAATTAACTGTGGGGTATTTTGAGCTGAAACTTCACAAATACATTCTGGGGACACCCGAGACCAATATTACATCTTGTAAAAAGGGGCATACTACGTGCCCTTTAATGAGTAATGGGTGTGTTTTGGGCGTAACATGCAATAAACATCATAGTCTCATCTCCCATTCCCATTAAAAGCCATGGAGGAGTTTACAAGCGGAAAAACTGAACGCTTCTCTAGAGAGGAAACGGATCTGCTCACGAGCGAGGTTAAAGGAGTTCACTAAAGGAGGTTAAAGGAGTTCACTTAAAAAACTTTTGCTGATAATTTACTCACCCCCATGTCATCCAAGATGTCCACGTCTTTCTTTCTTCGAAAAGAAATTAAGGTTTTTGATGAAAACATTCCAGAAATGTTCTCCATATAATGGACTTCAATGGGAACCAAACCCGACACGTTGCCTTCCGACACGTTTGTATCTGCAGCTGTGGTAACTAGAGAAGAGCTGGCAACCTGAATGCCGCAACACTTCTGACTTTGTGATTGGTTGATCGGTGGAGGGTGATGCATCAACAAAATACAACTTGACAACATCAACATCAGTCAAGGGCTGCGACTTCACTTTTTAAATGACAATATCCTGGCCGGACTACTGTTGTCAGTGATATAAGTATTTGAAATGAACAAGATTTCTTAATGTCTAGTGATATTTCAGGGAAAATCTCTGATTAGTTGAAATAAATTTCTTGCATACAGCTCCTTTAAGTTTTATAAGCTCAAATGCTCGCCTTGCTCTGTTCTGTGTGACTCTCCTGTTCGAACTCATTCATCAAAATGAATTATTCTTTTTTTCGAGTTATTTTGTTCATTTTGTTCATTGAATGAACCAAATGAGTCGGAAAAAAATTTGTTCATTTTGATGAACGAGTTTGAACAGGAGAGTCACGAACGCGCATCACAGAACAGAGCAAGGCAAGCATGTGAGCTTAAAAAACGTAAACTTTGTTATTATTTTTTTTTAAATGAGCGATCGTTTCGCTTGATAAGACCCTTATTCATCGTCTGGTGTCGTTTAAAGCCCTTTGAACAGTTTGCACTGAAACTCTCATTTGGACCTTGAACCGTTTGGTTCCCATTGAAGTCCATTATATGGAGAAAATCCTGAAATGTTTTCATCCAAAACCGTAATTTCTTTTTCGACTGAAGAAAGAAAGACATGGACATCTTGGATGACATGGGGGTGAGTAAATTATCAGCAAAAGTTTTTTTAAAGTGAACTACTCCTTTAATGAGATATGGACATACAGTATTGTATTCATTTTATTTGTGCCATTCTTAAATAGTTAGAATAAATACACTGAAGACAAGAAACAGTGAAAACGTGAACTTTCTTTATTGCCTCAAAAAAACAACATAAAGTAAGAGCTGTTTGAGATTTCTTTGTGAACTAGATGGACGTGGAACAAAAGAACTTTGTTAAAAAGCGCAGCCTCAGACCACTGTCTCTGTATTTTGGCTTGACTGTGAAGGGTTTGATCTGAGAACTATTGCTCTGTCTCTGTCCAGCGTCTCGGCTGTGATAACATGCTGGAGTCGCCCCAGGAGGAGGACCCCTGTTTACAGTGTGGAGGGAATGGACAGTCATGCAACATAGTCAAAAACAGTTTCTCAATGAGAAACCTGCCCAAAGGTAAACTCACCCAAGACCCAATGCATTTGGAACTATATATATACAAATATGCCTTAAAAAGTAGTTTTACCCCTACTTACAGGTTACAATCAAATGTTCATCATCCCTGTTGGGGCCACCACTATCAGCATCAAGGAAACCGTACCAACACGCAATTACCTTGGTTAGTGTTTGTGAATACGGTCCTAATCCTAAACTTTTCATCATCAGCGTCAACCTTTTTATCATTACATTTTGCCTCTAATAGCAATCAAGAACCTACGTGGTGAGTACTACCTTAATGGACACTGGGCGATCGATTTCTCTCGAGCCGCACCCATTGCTGGCACCGTGCTGTATTACCAGAGGGGAACAGAAGGGGAAAAGACCCCCGAGATCATCACTGGCCGTGGCCCTACAACTGAGCCTCTAGTGATCGAGGTGATAGCCAGTTTAACCCTCTGGGGCTCTTCGCATTTCTATCCAAATTTACAGTTTTTTTTTGTCAATGAAATGAATGTACTATATTTTAGTTTGATAATGTTTTTTATTTAATATTTGGTATTTTTGAGGGATTTTTTTTATTCTAAATTATATTTACGCTATTTTTATATTCCATTTATTCACTTTTTGAGCATAGACCTGAAAATTAAATCTCCAACTTAAACTGTCGTAAATCTTGAATGCTTTAAAGCACAAACTTAAGTTTGATCTCTTTTTAAAGACGACACTTGAAAGATTATTGGTGAAGTGAAAAAAGTTTACTCGAAAACTACTGAAAGAAAATGAAAGCCGTACACTGTAAAAATGAATATGCTTTATCTAATCAATAAAATTATGGCAACAGATTACAAGCAATATTATTTATTAAATTGAACAAATTAGAATTTTAACATTCTAATTAATTCTAATTTGTACAATTTAATTAATAATATTGCTTGTAATATGAAGTGAAAAAAGTTTACTCGAAAACTACTGAAAGAAAATGAAAGCCGTACACTGTAAAAATGAATATGCTTTATCTAATCAATAAAATTATGGCAACAGATTACAAGCAATATTATTTATTAAATTGAACAAATTAGAATTTTAACATTCTAATTAATTCTAATTTGTACAATTTAATTAATAATATTGCTTGTAATATGTTGCCACAATTTTATTGATTAGATAAAGCATATTATTTTTTTCAGTGTACATGTTGAGTTGTGTTCCGAATCTGAGCTCGATATCTCAAAAAAGATTTTGTTCGGCTGCAGTACCAAAAGTTTTCTCTAGACTCCCATTCATTTCCAATGCGCTCATTTTTGACGAGTGTGGCTCTTTTTTTTTACTTTTTCAAATCAAACAATTCGCTTTCAATAAGATTTTGTTTGGCGTTCATTTTTGACAAGTGTGACTATTTTTTTCACTTATTCAAATCATGTCCACGATTGTTTTTGTCTTCACATAGCAAGTTCTAAAACCTTTACCAAGTAAAAAAATTAGATAAAAATAAAGACGTAACACATGAACTGTGAGTGTGAGTCGCTTTAACGTGCATTTAGGAATGAAACCAACCGTGGCGCCAATCATCTTCACAAACTTGTAATGAGAAACGCATAAAACAGAAGATGACCCACGGCGCAATGTGACGTTAGAGTGACGTCTTTTCTATGTAATTTTTGGACGTCCAATTTCAGTCCACTGAAGGGGTTGTTTTGTAACGCCAGGCGACGTCTTTTGCACGTTTAATATTGACGTCGGTGGGACCAAATGTGGTTGTTTGTGGACGTCTTTTCAACATCAAATTTAGTATCTTCTATAACTTCTATAGCTGTAGTCCCATGTTTCAAAAAGGTAGAGAACATTTTTAAAGGATGTTATCTGTACCATGTATTTATATTTATGCATTTGACACATGCTTTTATCCACAGTGACCAGTCCCTCCAGAAAAACGCGATTATGCGATCGCTGAATTCAATGCAAAATCAGCCAAAGTCCGCATATTTATGCGGGGGCCGCATTTTTTCAAATACGCCGCACTTTCGCCGCATAAATTGCCGATTTCCGTGCAAAATATGCGGGGTTTGCATAATTTCATAATCCTCGCTGCAAAAAAAGTTTCGTTGCAAAAAAGTCACATGTATCTTAGCAGAAAGTTGAAAAATGTTGCGTTTGCTTCACACAAGAGCAGCCATTTCCCCCTGTTTCCATGGGAACGTTATGAAGTGACGCAATTACGCGACGCCAGACAGACTCACGGAGGCGATTGACATCTCACAAATCGAACTCGTATAACTGTCTGTCACACGTTCTACCGTCACATCGTTACTTAATAAACAACATAAGATAAAAGAAGTAGCATCAAACAGAAATTACCCGCACACATGAGGTGTTCGAGAGAGTTCAACAGGGAGCGCGCAGCTCTTAAAGGGGCCACACCTTATTTACACTCGTTACAGTGAATCTGAAATAAAACAAGATGAGAAATTAAACATTCCCAGCACTTTCTATGATGTAGTATGCTTGCTTATCAAAGGAAGTAATAAGAAATGACTCTTACATTAGCCTAGTGAGAACACGATGTTGGGGGAATCATTTTTTCTCTTTCTCTTTTTCATCAAACCGCAATTTTTGCAAGTTCCCTCAATTTTTGCAAATTCCTGCAATTTCATTGCATAAATATCCCGCATATTCCATTGCATTTTAAAAGAAAACGGGCCGCGTAATCAATCAATTTTTGCCCGCAACAATCACAAAAAAACTCTGCGTTTTTCTGGAAGGACTGAAAACTATTATGGTAAATATTATATAAATGTCGCAAATTTTTTCACAAATTTTTGTAAATTACCACCACAAAATCAGTCATTTTGATCGCAAAAATCACAAAAAAAAAAAAATCATGAAATCCTGGAGGGACTGAGTGACTTACATTGCACTTTTACATTCCTGCTTTCCCTGGGAATCAAACCCTTGATCTAAGCATTACAGTCGTTGGCCGTTTCACAAGTGCCAACGCTCTACTGTTTGAGCTACAGCATTAGACTTTTGTATGTGTCAATTACCACCTTCTGCTTGAGACAATCAAATGCAGTTTTTGGAAAACTATCTTAAATAATTATAAATAATCTGTATTTATATGTATTAATCATGTTGATAACAACAATGTTGATATTTGTAAATAAAAAAAAACATTGCATTAATCATGTAAATTTCCTGCACCTGTAATAGACGTCCAAATGAGGTCCAAAAAATGACCCAGTTCAACGGTCAAATGTTGGGTCATGGTTGGACGTCCAAATAGTGGACCTAGTTTGGACGTCAAATAGATGTCCAGAATTGGTCATGGACCAACGGACCCAATACAGACATGATCTGCACGTCTATCCGACGTCCAGTGTTTAGTGGGGAGCTACTATGAAAAAGTAGTCTGACATACTAAAATTAAGACATCCAATAATACTAGTATTGTAATATTTTGATGTATGAATCAGCAACTGTGTGAGTGGTCAAGTCCAAGACCACTGAAATAAAGAAAAGCCAGTCAAAAGAACTTAAACATACTGCATGCACCTATTACTTTTTGAGGTACGTTTTGAATACTCTGACCATCAGTGTCTTTGTTTATCTACAGCTAATCACTCAAGAGGCTAACGAGGGCGTGGAGTATGAGTATTATCTGCCTAACGGACGCTTGACGGAGGGCTACTACTGGAGCTATGGCTCCTGGTCGGCCTGCAGCAAAGAGTGTGGCTCAGGTCAGTGTCAAAGTAGAAGGACACCGGACGCGCAAGACACTACAGGCATTATTATCATTATTTTAGCCTTGGGCTGTCGTTCTAACTGTGCTCTGGGTCTGCACCCGTTATCACCACCTATCTGTCTGCCTCTTCTCGTCACCAGCCCTTCACCAACTCCTCGACCTCCTCCTCTCACTCTCTCCCTCGACTGCTTTTGTTACGGCGCAAGGTTTAGTTTAGTCAGTTTAGATTGGGACCTCCCCGCATTGTTCAACAATGTAAAGGAGTCAAATTGTCAACCTTCCACACTTCAGAATCCTGAAAGTCTTTTGGCTCAAAATAGGGATGTCAATTTTCACAAATTCCCATGGTCGATCGTCGTTCAATTTAACGATCAATTAATCGTTAGCCTGCAGTGTCATATGGCCAACAACAGAACAGGGTCTGCAAATGCTGCTCAAAACGCTATGTTCCTCAACAATTTAATGAGAATGTTTTTTAATCTAAATAAAGGGCTAGTGGGATTGTAAAATGTTTCGATGTGATTGATAATCAAGTTATTATTTAATAATCAAATAAAACGACTATATAACGTGTCACCAACCGCCTCAGATGCACTTTGTGTTGTGGACGTGCTCTTCCTGCGACAACGCACTGGGAACGGCAACTAAACCCAATGATTTCACAACAAATTAATAAAATAGCGTTCTCATGTTATGTAATATGACAGTCCCAAATTACCGTTAATCATGGTAATTATAAGTCGTGCATTCTGCTTGAGCGGCGCGCACTGTATGCATAACCAAAACACTTTGCTAGCGCATTATTTAAAGGGTTAGTTCACCCAAAAATGAAAATTAACTCATTAATTACTCACCCCCATGTTGTTCCAACCCCGTAAGACCTTCGTTCATCTTCCAAACACAAATGAAGATATTTTTGATTAAATCTGAGAGCTGGATCAGTGCTACATAGGCTCCTAAGGGAATGACTCTTGACGGCCCAGAAAGTCATTAAAGAAAATGTTTAAATATTCCATGTAACGACAGTGGCTCAAGTATAAATTTATCAAGCGACGAGAATACTTTTTGTGCGAAAAAACAAACAAAAATAATGACTTTATTTGATTATTCCTTTTCTTCCTTGTTGGCCTGAAACGAGACTTCAATAAGATTTCCACGACGCATGCGCGAGAATTGCGATCTCCTTACACTACTTCAGTTCAGTTCTCGCGCATGCGTCGTGGAAATCTATTGAAGTATCGTTAAGTACGATTAAGTACAACATTAAGTACGATTTTTTTGCTTTAAAATAATGTTTTCAAAATGGTTTCAGTGGTTCATCAAGTCGTGACATGGTGAAATACACTTATGCCTCTGCTTTGCGGTCCTTTATCTGATATATTCACGCTATGTAAGATTGCCAGATCGGGTCGCGTTTCTGTAGTCCGAATGAGACATAAGAAAACTACAAATTTGACTTGCTTTGAGGCAAGCGTTACAATTGCCGATAGGTGGAGCGTACTCGACAGTAGACAACGACACGTAAGATACCTAGCAGCCGGTAGGGCTGGGTATCGATTCACATGTTCGATTCGATTTCGATTCACAAGCTCTCAGTTCGATTCGATTTCGATTTTCGATTTCGATTCTCGATTCCTGATTTGATTTTCGATTAAACTATAATGAATATGGATGTAAAACAAATCCTATATTTATAAAAAGAAATATAGGACTTTAAGAACTACTGGTAGTGCACGGATCCATTACCTCATTATAGTAGCTGCTAGCCTACTGCCTGTCTGTCAGACGCGTTTAATGCTAATTTAATACATAACCGACTGTCTTTACAAGGTTACTCACCAAGACCAGAGTTTTGACATAATTTTGCGTGTTTTTAACTGTTAAAGCGATATAATCCAGGGATAAAACTTTTGTTTCTGGCGATCTGTTTGTGAGGCGGATGTTAAAACTGGTAAACTTAAAAAGTCGTGAAAATTATAAACGTTAGTTACGATCATAGGTTACGATGCAATGCTGGCCTGATTGTGCAAGTGAATATTCCATCATGTCCCGACTGCAGCGCGCTTGCCGCTTGCCTAATGCAGTGAGAGAAGACGCAGCACCGCGAGCCCTTAAAATGGAAAAAATCGATTCGTGGCCGTTGAGAATCGATTTTGAATCGACCACATTTTAAAAAACGATTAATCGAAAAATCGTTTTTTTTTGGCCAGCCCTAGCAGCCGGGTAGCTTTTGAATTGTCATGATTCCATGAGCGCGCGTGCGACAGGATGCGCTAGGCTAAATTATTTACGACAGCAGTAATGGACAATCGACCTTTGGCTAAGCCACGCCCTCAAACGCCTTGAGCCAATCACAGTGTGCAGCTAACCCAATACACTCGGACATTCTCTGCTTCTACATCCATTGAAATGAACTACAGTTAGTCAGTTTTCATTCATTTTTTCTTGTCATTTTAAGTTTGAAATGGTCAACGGTGTGCATGGGGCACATGCAGCTCGACACTAAGTTTCCCGAGAGGCTGGGCGACGGTGTGTGTTTTTTAACCCTTTCCCGAGCCACATCTCAACCGAGATAAGTGTCTGCTCTGGATTAAGTTATGCGGTAAAAAATGTTGTGCTGAATGATTCATGTAAATACTGTAGCACCAAATGGTGATGGCAAAGATATGTGGTTTATCACGTGATCTGTACATTTTTGCCTGGAGCTGAAGCTTTTCATCGAACTTCTCAACAATAAAATTATTACTACAACCCTCCAATGCATAGTTAAAGCCCTTTAGGTGACTGAGAGATGATATAAAATCTTTCTGTCTCTAAAAATCACCAATTGTCTCCTGTGAAATGTCTCTTACTGTGACCGCTGCCATAGCGCCTGTCCCCGAATGTTGACGGTGTGTCCGAGTGAGTGGAGGGGGCGTGGCTTAGCCATAGGTCAATTCCGCTTCCAACCTGTAGGGCGACCTCAGAGGAAAAGTTTGTTGATGTTGCTTTAACGACTTTGCCGAATTTGAATTTGGGCACAGTCAGGCTTTTTACATTCACTTTTTTGTGAATTATGTTAACCCTTGTGCTGCATTAGATTTTTAACACCGTTGAGTGCATTAAGGACCAAAAATGGCCACATATTAAACATTGCCTAAAATATTATATATTATTATTATTTTCCACTTTTACCAAGTTAAATCTTTAAACCAGCATCAGTCCTCATCACAACTACCAAAAATGTATTCAATTTCAGGATTTTAACCCTTTAATTACCAGTTTTGTTTGCGAAACCATCGATTTGTATAAGAGGAAAAAACACAAAAATTCAATTATTTTCAATAAACTAAATGCAAAGAGAAAACTTTAGATTTGGATTATCACAGTCCCACTTTGCAAAAAATCCCACTTAGCGCGTTAGAGACCAAAAATGGCCACCTATTAAACATTGCCTATTGCCTAAAATAAGGTGCATTTCCACCCATAGGGAATAAATATGTAGTGACGTCATCTGGTGGAATACACTACATAATGCAAATATAATGCTTTTGCTTCAAAATGAAAGGATGTTTGTGCAAAAATCATGTTTCATGTATTACTGACAGCCTCAGATTTAAACAACGTTTTAATGGGTTTCAATGGGCCATTTTTGGTCTTTATGGTGCTGAGTGTTACTATTTGATCTACACAGTGTGTGTTATACATATTTTGCAAAATGGGATCACATTTTTTACATGTATCCAAAAAGTCACAATTTTGCCAAATTTCATACCATTTGCATTAAAACAGCCAAAATGGTCAAAGAAATTAAACTGCAAAAGACCAAAAATGTCCCTAATGCAGCATAAGGGTTAAAAATGCAGTCATTAGTGAAGATTTGTGTCACCAACACACTGGACTGAACTGAACAGGACAGGTAGGGTGTGTAGGGGGCCAAGTGCTACACCCTGAGGTATTTAAGCTCAAACACTGTTTGAAGAGCTTGAAGGGGATGCTTAATATCCGGCATATTTCATCTCTGATGAAAGGCCAGCCGCGTCAGGAGTGTCTTGGCAATGTGGAGGTTGTTTTCACTAAGGGGCATCAGGAGAAGCGTATCATCACAGCTTGGAAGGACTACTCTTTATGGCTTCAAATAAAATGCACATTATAATCCAATGACGTATAATAACAGTCTTTATGAATATCTAGTAAGAAGGAGAGCAGGAAGAGACTGGGCCCTGAGATCCTGAAGGCGTGTTCACATAAAGGATGATAACTCTAATGTTTTAATAATTGTTTTAATTCAGTGAGGATTGGGAAGTCCACACCATAGCTATAAATATAGCGAGCAATAACATTCGAATCACGATTTTCCACAGCCGATTATTATTAAAAACATTGATTGCCAAAACAGAATCCATCCGACTTTAAAGAGTTTTAATGTCAAATGACAAAACTGCTATTTTCTCATACTTCTGCTGTAATGACAAAGCTGCTCATTTTCAAACTTTGTTTTATTAATAATTAATTATAATTAATAATTCCATAACCAAATGTTCTTACTCTTTATTTTATCAATAAATCAGCTCATTTAAAAAAATAAAAAAGTATACTCACAATTTATCAGCAATTTCTACACAATAAAATCTTTTAGAGATGTACATAACTAGGGAAAAAAAAATTAAAAATTCAGAATTTTTTTAAAAGTCCCCCATGAGACTGTGAGAATTGTGGTTCATTAAAGGCGGGCGTACACGGTGCGATTTTTTGCTGTTTTACGAGCTCGCAGATGATTTTTTTCACTCGGGGGAAATCGCGTGTAAATCGGTTATGCTCGCATGTCGCGGCTCGTATCGTGTGCGAGGAAGATACGAGCCGAGCCGAGCACCTCTCGACCTCCCGATAATTTTTAAGCATGTCGAAAAAGTTCGGGAGCTGTTGGCTTGCATTCGTGAGGTGTATGCGGTTGAATGAGCCGATTTGTCGATCTATCTGAATTTGACCAATCGGGAGCTGAGGAAATCCAGAGAAGAAAGACGAAAATGGTGTGGACTACTAGAAACACTGCTTCAATTAATGTTTTTATGATGACTTTGTGAAAGGTTAACTAAACAGCATCTGTCGTGTTCCTACTGGCCAGTATTTGGCATATTTCATTCTGAAACAACTGTAGGCTATGCTATTGTTTTTGATAGTGTTATACATTTCTTACAGATTCTTACACATCACGATGATCATTAGGCTATGTTTGTATCCTCCTAAAAGCAATGACAGTTTGTCTACAGCCTAAGCTTTTTTTTATTAATGCCGACAGAACAATGTTGCCAGATATTGCTACGAAAAACAAGCAAAAACTAACAAAAACAAAGAAATTATATAAAAATCCACAATAAGTTCAAAGCTTGTGTTTTGAAAATAAGATAAATATATTACGAAACACTTTAATAACTTCCTAAAGCGTGACATTAATCCAAAAAGCAAGTCCAGATACTGGCACCTTTCCATTATGTGGATCTTGCAACACGGGATCTGGCACCCGCGCCCTCACTCTCACAACGCGCTCAAGCTCACTCAAGCCCCGTTCACGGCGATAGCTTCTCGCAGCAAAATGAATTGCAAACGCTCACATGAGGTGGTTTAAACGGCTAATTAATCATTCAGAGAGCTTGAAATTTATTTTTGAATGTGTAGCCTACCGTAACTATGTCCGGACGTCCGTTTCGCGGTGCTAAAAACGAGCCTATAGCAAAATAACCACGGCTTGTATCAATGTTTTATATGCAGTTATGAGAGTTTTTAGTGCGGAACTTTGTGCGATTTCTTCGGAATTCAGCAGGTCGTAAAATCGTGTCGTATATCACTGCCTCCATACGATTTTTGTATAAACGCACTCATAACGTGTGCCTGGGCATACGATCTTCCGACCGTCAGAATTCGTACCGTGTACGCCCGCCTTAACAAAACATAGTTATTTGAGGAAATAAATACAAAAAAATATATATTTTTTGCTTATTTTAATGCTTGTTTTTTTTCCCCTTCTCATTTTAAATAATTTTAAGCCGTCTTCGATGAAGTTATTATAATTGAGTGTTATTTGCAATGCATTTCATGGTTGGTGTATTTGTATTACGCCGCCTTCACACTGGCAGTTGAAATCAGCTCCGTAATACGCAATACGTTCCCAACGGACGTCGTACTACACAGTGAAAAGCGTCGGACGCGGGTAGAACAAAAATGGCGGAGAGATTAAAGTTTGATTCTGTCAGTTCTGTATGATCTCTCTGATTAGGGTTATGCTGCGTGAGGAAAGTTGCTGACATGTCAGGTCGGCTAAAAAATGTGATATAGTGGTCAATAGTTCAATGTCTACCTTCAATTTAATTGTATTAACTGCCCTTATAAACGTTAGAAAGTCATGAAAATAAAAAATGACATCACAACTTATCGTTATAAAATCAATATTTATTTTATTAAAAGTTAATAATTCAGGTTTGTTTATCAGTACCATAGCAACGCTCAACTTCCGCTGGAATTGTCGGATAGGAACCGTCCGTAGCTTTTCGCAAGAGTTCAAATTTTTGAACGCATCCGGATGACCAACGGACACGATTTTCTTCGCACCGCACTCGGTCGGACCCGTTTCGGACCCATTCGCATGCGGTCTGCGAATCTCCATAGGGAATGAATGACTTCCGGTCGTTTCGCAGCCGCATCGGAGCTGATTTCAACTGCCAGTGTGAAGGCGGCGTTAGAGAGTATTTGAACACTTTGAACATATTTGTCTTCCTTATATTGTAGGTTACCAGTCCCGTCTGGTCTTCTGCACCATTGATAATGAGGCCTACTCTGATTACCTGTGTGCCTCCCTCCCTCGACCCCTCAGCAACCGCACATGCAATGAACAGCAGTGCCCGCAAACCCGCAGGTACATCCATACCTCACGTCCCGCTAAAAGCCAACTGTAACGTAGATGTGTTTTGTGCTTTAACACACTGTACAGTTTTTATTAAACATCAGAAACGCATTCCTGCCCACAAATGTGTTAAAATTGTGCGGTTGCTGTCTGACTTGTGGAGAACCGTTGGGTCTCACAGCTTTGGCTGTACTGTTCCTGTTCTGTAAGGATGGCGTATGTGTACGAGCCGCGTCTGTGGAGGCCCGTGGAACCGCCTCGAGTCTATGTACAAGTGTTCAGGTAACAGCCTTCAGAGGCTGATATACTGCAGCGCTTGATCTCAAACACACATTTGTGTCCAGTCTATGCAATCTCTCAGGAATCTCAGTGTTTCGTGTGCCCGGGTCACAAACTCTGGGCTACATTATGGGATTTTCGAAAGAATTTTAAGTGCGTAACTGTTTTCCCGTCCTCTCCTTGCACGTACAGTATATCAAAACCCGATCCCCAGTGTAACACTGATGTATGTCTTTTGAAAATTTATTTAGTATCATTGAGGCACTTCAGTGATTAATCTAAATTAACTGTTTTTATTCAAGTTAAAAATTTAATTTAATATTCCTGAATCAACCTTAATGCATTCATTTATACCAGAAATTGTTTTGAGGGTTGAATCAAGTAAAACACAGCCCTTTAAAGGAGTAGTTCACTTTAAAAAAAAAAAAAAAAATTGCTGATAATTTACTCACCCCCGTGTCATCCAAGATGTCCATGTGTTTCTTTCTTCAGTCGAAAAGAAATTAAGGTTTTTGATGAAAACATTCCAGGATTTTTCTCCATATAATGGACTTCAATGGGAACCAAACGGTTCAAGGTCCAAAAGACAGTTTCAGTGCAAACTGTTCAAAGGGCTTTAAATGATTTCAGACGATGAATAAGGGTCTTATCAAGCGAAACGATCACTCATTTAATAAATAAATACAAAAGTTTAAGTTTTATAAGCTCAAATGGTCGCCTTGCTCTGTTCTGTGATGCGCGTTCGTGACTCTCCTGTTCAAACTCGTTCATCAAAATGAACGAATCTTTTCCCGAGTCAACTCATTCATTTCGTTCGTTGAATGAACCAAATCACTCGAAAAAAGATTCGTTCATTTTGATTAACGAGTTCGAACAGGAGAGTCACAAATTTTTTTTAAATGAGGGATCGTGAGCGAACCTTAATTTCTTTTCGACATGGACATCTTGGATGACATGGGGGTGAGTAAATTATCAGCAAAACATTTTTTTAAAAGTGAACTACTCCTTTAAGGTATTGCAGGTTACCACTTTTTACACTATTATAGTTTTTTTCAGTTTTTTTGTATTTTAAGGTTCAGTAATTCTGTTGTTTTTGTCATATTTATTAGTTATTGCTTTTTAAAACATTAATATCATTAGTCTTTTAGTATGTCAAGTTAAACTAAATGAAAATGAGAAATGTCTTTTATATTGTATTTTATTTCAAGTAACTAAAGTTTTGTTGGGGGGGGATTTCATTATAAAAACATCTATCTTTTTTTTTTAGATAACTTTAATAACCCTGCTGACACCTCTCAGAGATTGTTCACACATCATTAATATGTGTTTGAGTTCAGTTTGCACTATTTTTTTTTTACATGTTTAGCGCGATTCTTATTTGTTAGAGTCTTTTGTTCCTTCACATGTGAAGATGAACCAAGGCCTTGGGCAACTGTTCAGCTCAGAGCTTCACGTCTCTTTGACCCTCCCTTCTCTAATGATTTATAGACACTGCAGTAGTTTCACATGTAAGGGTTAAAGCCCTTGTCAGGTATTAATGGACGACGGCGAGGCGTGAACAGTCCGACGTGCAGCGGGGTCCATTAATACCTAGACGATGGACACCTCAAAGGGCATTAACCCGTTTATACCATGGTCACTTGCCAAATAACACATTTTTAAAACATTAGTTTATATTTGAATTAGTTTTTACGAACAATAACTTGGTTTCCCTGGTTACGCCTGACGGTTTATTAACAACCGGAGATATTTATAGTCCGCTCAGCTCGTAGACAGATAAACGGATACTTTGGCTGCCTGTTGCTATGGTTACTCACAGTTGATGTAGCCCGCGAATTTATTAATTAATTTCGAACGGTAAACAGTCAGTTTCTCCTTTACTAGGTGTCCTCCACTTTTTAATGGACACCCTGCAGCCAATCAGAATCGAGTATTCACCCAGACCGTGGTATAACAGTTAATATTCCACTGATGCCTGATGTTCACATGAACTGTGGAGCTCTGATCTGAGCTGCTGTCTGTGTTCTAGGTAGGGTACTGTCTGTTTCAGTGTCGATTTTGTGGGCAATACAGATCTGTGTTCTATGTATAGATTGTATATGCATGATGGCCCTGATTTACTAAGATCAGAGAGTAATAATTATACACTCAGTTGAAGAATAATTGCACAAATGATGATTCTTGCAAATAGGTTGGATGAATCCATTAAAACGAGGCTATATGTACCAAATATCATAATAATTATTATTTGTAAATGAGACATTTATACCAGTCACCCTGAGACATTTCGAATGATACTAAATATATATATATATGAAGAGTTCAGATGCAAAAGCCTCTAAATGCCATTTGAAATTTTCTTCTTTAATGATGATTTTTATCAAACTTGTATATTTAAGTTCAGTAATTTCACTTAAATAACAATTAATAGGTAATCTTCATTGCCATTTAAGTGAAATTACTGAACTTAAATATACAAGCTTGATAAAAAATATCATTCTAGAAGAAAATTTCAAATGGCATTTAGAGGCTTTTGCATCTGAACTCTTCATATATAATACTCTGTGATGATAATTTACATTAAACCATATAGATTCTTGTGTGAGTTTGGGTAATCTCTGCAAGAATGGGGGGATGAGGGGAAGAAATCTAGATCAGGATGAGAGAGGTGAGACCTTTGTCTCAATAGTGCACGAGGCGAGGGAGAGTTCAGATGTTAAGTGGTCGTTCCTCAACTAGTTTTTCCATTCTCATGAGTTGCTATTTTGCATCTGAAATAGACTGAGCCATTGAACAACTGAAACCTGCTCTAAAGTCATTTGGCGCAATATGTAACTGTACGTTCACACCGCCACCGGCGAGAGCGTCAAAGTGGCCGGAAGTCATTCATTTTCATTGAGAGCCAGCGGCAAGCTCCGGCGAGAGCGGCGCGGCGCGTTTCGGACGGCGAGAGCGGCGAGCAGAGTTGCAACCTCAAATTGTCACTTGCAACTTCTCAAATCTGTCACTGCTAGGGTTGGGTATCGAGAATCGAGTATCGATTGGAATCGGGACTAACTTTTAGTTTTTCCCGGAATCGTTCAAAAGTTAAAATTTCGATTCCTAGTTTCAATATTCACAGTCCGCCGAGCGGGAGAAGAAACCGCTGAACAACATCAACGAAGAAGCGTCTACCGGAAGTGTTGGCATAACCGCGCGAGTCGAACATGAGTAGCTTACGTCGGCGATCCAAAGTGTGGCTTCACTTTTCTAAAAATAACGAAATCTCGGCAAAATGCAAAATTTGTGACAAAAGGAGTATTTGTGACAGAAGGAGTATTTCCTTCAGAAAGACCGTTGGTTAGCAAGGTTAGCTAAACTTTTAGAATCAGAAATTAAATTAAAAGAATCAGAATCGAGAATCGTTAGGAACCGGAATCGAAACAAGGAATCGGAATCAGAATCGTTCAAATTCAAACGATACCCAACCCTAGTCACTGCAAATTGACTTTTGCTGCTCTTTTCGCGATACATGAGATGCAACACTAACTTGTGCACTTGTAACTCAGTAGTGGCGAGAGAGAAAACGGGGGTGTTCAAACGAGCCGTTTTATTGGTTGGCAATAGCCACTGAAATGACTTCTATTATACGAGATGATGTCACGAAACCTGCCTTCTCCTGGATGTTCTGAAACGCTAACATGGCTTAATGCGTTACTAATATTAAAAGACATAAATGATAGTAAACATCATTTCAAACACTTTTGTGGTTCACTGACCACTACTAAATGCTTTATACCCGAATTAACCCTGAATTACAGCATAAATACATGTTAATAAAGCATTTATTAACACACTAAGTAACCATCACTACATGTCTGAATAATAAGATATAGGAATGTACATTTAAATGGTTTATTAATCATTTACTTACACGTTCTAAGTGATCTTACGAACCACTCACAACTCTTAAATAACTGGTTTATAAAAAATGCAATTCTTCATTTCGAAATGATAAATTGATCATTAATAAAGGATGAAAATACAATTATTAAACAAATTACAGATATGCTTTTAAATCAAGAAGAAAGCATTTATAGCTGTATTTATAAATTGTTTATTGATGTCTATTAGTGCTTTATGAATGATGAATTAACTGTTACTCATGCTTAACTAATGATTATTAGCATGTAGTGCAAAATGGAAAACGTAATGTATTCACGCTTTTCCGTTTCTGGTTTATCCTGTATTTTGTTGTAATATGAAAGTAACGTATTCAATTAAATTAGGATTTTGTGTGCATAAAACAACAGAAAAATGTGTCACATAAATGCAAATGCATTGAATGAATGTCTATGTATTCTCCATTCTGTTGCGAGATAAAAGCTGGCACATAAAAATGATTATGAATGAATAACACAGTCTTCCTAGTAGATCAGCTGAGACTTTTATGCGACCCTAGTAAATCATGGCCTGCATGTCCTCTGTCTGGGTGTCTTCTGTGTTCTTTAGTTTGCCTTGTTTATCTGAATATATTTGCGTGTGAAGCAGAAAGCAGCATTTGGTCTTTAAAAACAAAAAAGATCCTTTAACTGGTCATGGTGGTGCCCTCTGGGATTTTCCTGTGATGTTAATGGACAGAAACCTGAAACGGTTGTGGTCCCTGAGCAGATCGAACAATTTTTGCCCTTTTGCTGTGGGAATTTGACTCTTTTGACTCATATCTTCATTTATTCTCTCATCTTCAGGTTTCTGGGAGCACCTGCTCGACTTTGACAGGCAAAGTGTTTCTGTTGAACACTTGCTTTGTCCGTCTACTTTCCCAGAATGCACAGATCTTTATGTTTTGTTGAATGTATGTGTAGTGGTGTGAACAGTGGTTAAAACAGCTTTTGTCCCTTCACTTAAATATTCTAGGTTAAATGTAATTTTTGCGGCATGCTATCGATTACCACAGTAAATAATTTTGACTTGTCTGTCTTGATGTATAAAACTAAAATATGATAACAATTTACAATAAGGCTCCATGTTAATTTCAACATTTACCTCTTGTGCATTATTCAAAAGTTGCATTTGTTAATATTTAATGAACCTGAGCTGGCATGAACAAAGAACAGTTTTATTACATGGATTAATAAATACTGTTGTGTTGATTAATAAAAACAAAGGTATTGTCCATTGCAAGTAACATTAACTAATGAGAACTTATTGTAAAGTGTTACCAAAATATGTACGGTTTATCGAAAATAATCCAAAGTGATCAAAACAATGGCTTGACTTCATAAGATTTACCAACATTAGGATGACATGAAACAAAGCTAGTCAAAAGACACTCGTAACATGAGGACTATACATACACAGATATGCGTCCCAATTCGCCTACCTCTACTACGCCCTAAAAGTATGTACTCTTTTTGTGAAGAAAAAGTACATACTTTTGAGTGTGTAGTAAAAGAGTAGGCAATCGTTAACAGACAGCTCAGTCGCATCAATCACCTCGTCAAATCCTCCATTCAGTCTACTTTAATTTCTTACCGTTTCGGAGAGAAATGTTGTCGCACGTTCATCTGCCAGTCGTGGGTCGTTCAAGTCGAGACTCTCCTCATGTGTTTGCGATTTGAATATAATGATGCATTTAAAAGTTAAAGGCTAAACATATTGTAATATTTTTGGTTGCCAATTAGGGATGGGCAACAATTAATCGTGATTAATCGCGTCCAAAATAAAAGTTTGTGTTTGCATAATATATGTGTGTATAATTAATTTGAATATATAAATACTAACACATGCATGCACATATATTCAAGAAAAATGTGTTATTAATATATCAAATATTTATATTTATACATAATATTAATTGTGAATAAAAAATATATATAAAATATATACATGCACATATTTCTTAAATATATACATGCATGTGTGGGTATTTATATATACAAATTAATTATACACACCACACACATATATATTATGTAAACGCAAACTTTTATTTTGGATGCGATTAATCGTTGCCCATCCCAAGTTGCCAATAGGCTGCTGCCAGCACCTTTATTTTAGCCAGTATGGTCTGGCACCAGAAAACAACACACCATCACAACTTCAATCAGAATACAGTTTTATTTGGCAGAGGGGACTGCAAAGACAGGCTTAACACAACTAGGGAAGGCTTGAGAGAATACATTCACTCACTTCATTAGTGACAGACCCCAGACTCAATTACAGTGGCACTTCAAACTCATGTAAAACCTCAACTTCATGCAGGTGCAAAATGGTACCCATGTCTATTCTCTAAAACCTCCCCATTTAAACCCACCCACCTTCACTATCGCCCTCTGTTAATTAAAAAGCACAACTTTATTCAACACATTAATTTAGTCTAAAACAGAAACAACCTTTAAAACACTTAACTCGCCAACCGCGACGTTGCCCCTCCCCGCTGGCACTAGGCAGTCTCAGGCACACAAGGGGAGATCCCACCATAAGTCCATTTCGAAAGGCAAAGTCCATCCGGGCTCGTGCGAATCAATAGCATCAGCATTACCAACACTATCTCACGACCAATTCGTACGAATTTGACGCATGATTAAAAAGTGTCTAATTCGTACTAATTCGTACGACCTCACTCGTACTAATTCGTACGATTTGTCTAAACCCACGTGATGGTTAGGTTTAGGGGCGGGGTCAGGGGTAGGTCATTCGTACGAATTCATACGAATTGGCCAATTCGTAAAATATGTACGATTTAGCAAAATCGTATTAATTCGTACGAGCGAGGTCGTATGAATTGTTACGAATTAGCCACTTTTTAATCATTCGTCGAATTCGTACGACTTGGTCGTGAGATCGGGTTGGCATTACACACAGTATAGTGGCGGCACTCCTAACTTCCCATCTCTATACTCTCTCTCTCCCCGCACCCGCTATCTATCTGTCTTCATCGCCGGCGGTCCTATACAACCGCGAATGACACCCCCCTCCCAAAGAAAAGGTTAGTACCGCCGTCTTGTACCTTGTCCACAATGCAGACCGAACCGAGCCACCCGCCATCCTCTTTGTGCCCCATTTAAACATTTTCCACACCCAGCCTCTCCATACGCCAATCCCGCTCCGATGTTTCTCATTTCCCAATCAGTCTCATTAATTAGTTGCCAAGACAATTAGAGCCAGACCGATATATCGGCAGGCCGATATCATCGGCCGATATTAGGCATTTTCCAAACTATCGGTATCGGCAGTTATAATGGCCGATAAATGAATATTTCAAAAATAAAATAAAAACGGACGAAACACGCTTGAACCATGTCATGAGTGTTGTGTAGTTTGTCCACCAGAGGGCACTCTACACCGTTCCTGTTGGCAACACTCGTTGAGTTGGTCACGAGACATACATTGCTTGAATAACAATTAAAAGAACATCCCCATCAGTTCTCTTAAAGTTTCTTTTTAAAATGCATTATCATATTATTTTGGTTAAAACTCATAAATAACTACAAATAACTAATGTTAGGGAAATCTGTTAATGTTTTGTTGCGCCTTTCTGAAATAAAAAAGAAAAAAAATATATCGGCCGATATATCGGATTTTAAAACCAAAAAATATTTGTATCGGTATCGGCCTTCAAAATCCTTTATCGGTCGGGCTCTAAAGACAATATCCCAACACGCCACACACATTACAGTATCTTTACAAAAGTTCACAATGCTGCTGCAGATGCAATATAATAATTTAGCCAAGATTGAATAAATACATTTTCGCCAGGTTAGATACTGATAATTAACCACTTTAACCCCTTTATCTAAACCTCTATGCAAAATCGGCGGACTCGCGCGTCCTCCGTGTCTGTAGTTGTTTAACACTTTTCACTCGTGTTTAAAGTTCTAACAGAATCCTTGAACAATGCACGATGGTTTGTGGGCAATATCAGCCGTTAGAGTGTGCATCGGATTCTGACCGGATATAGTAGACCATCCGGGTCTCTTTGTAACATTTCAACATACTACGATTTGGCACGTACTAATTCTATTTTCGGATAGTATGCGAATTGGGACGCAGCAAGAGACTAATGACGTAACGAGACACTGGCAATGAACCAATGAACCAATCAGAAAGTCAGACAAGAAACAAGAGAACCAATCAGGGAGGCACATGACATGATCACATGAGGGCAAGGAATCGCATGACAAACAAGAATTTTACAAAATAAAAACTATAAACAAAACCTCAAAACAGGCGTGACATGTTTGTTCAAGTCAAAAATAGTATTTAACATTGTTGAATGTATCTAAATACATACATTTATACCAACAAAATAAATATGTATACATTAAATCGAGAAAAAACAAGTCTTTAAGGTAACAGTTGGATTATCATGTGTTTACATCTGTGCATTTAAAACAGAATCTATATACATACTGTCACAAAGTTTATATGTATTAGCATTAAAATCTAATTTGATCGAATCAATAACAAAGCATATTACTGAGTTTACTTTCGCTCTGTGTCTGTGTTTACCAGACTGGCACATGAGGAATGTTAAAGTGCTGTTTACATGGAGCAAACTATCCTGCATTTACTTCTGTAATACATAATCACAAGTTCACCTGCGCATTCCCAGCTCAAAACGATGGTTTATGCTGAAAATGCATTACTGTAAATTGCATTTAACAACTGACAGTCCCTCCAGAAAAACGCGATTATGCGATCGCTGAATTCAATGCAAAATCAGCCAAAGTCCGCATATTTATGCGGGGGCCGCATTTTTTCAAATACGCCGCACTTTCGCCGCATAAATTGCCGATTTCCTTGCAAAATATGCGGGGTTTGCATAATTTCATAATCCTCGCATTTTCGTTGCAAAAAAAGTCACGTATTTTAGCAGAAAGTTAAAAAATGTTGCGTTTGCTTCACACAAGAGCAGCCATTTCCCCCTGTTTCCATGGGAACGTTATGAAGTGACGCAATTACGCGACGCCGGACAGACTCACGGAGGCGATTGACATCTCACAAATCGAACTCGTATAACTGTCTGTCACACGTTCTACCGTCACATCGTTACTTAATAAACAACATAAGATAAAAGAAGTAGCATCAAACAGAAATTACCCGCACACACGGGGTGTTTGAGGCGCACATATAATATAACACTGCAGAGAGTTCAACAGGGAGCGCGCAGCTCTTAAAGGGGCCACACCTTATTTACACTCGTTATAGTCTGAAATAAAACAAGATGAGAAATTAAATATTCCCAGCACTTTCTATGATGTAGTATGCTTGCTTATCAAAGGAAGTAATAAGAAATGACTCTTACATTAGCCTAGTGAGAACAGGATGTTGGGGGAATCACTGAAAAAGAGAAATCTTTTTCATCAAACCGCAATTTTTGCAAGTTCTCTCAATTTTTGCAAATTTCTGCAATTTCATCGCATAAAATTGCATAAATATCCCGCATATTCCATCGCATTTTTAAAGAAAACGGGCCGAGTAATCAATCAATTTTTGCCCGCAACAATCACAAAAAAAAGCGTTTTTCTGGAAGGACTGAATACTATTATGGTAAATGTTATATATAAATCGCAAATTTTTTCACAAATTTTTGGAAATTACCACCACAAAATCAGTCATTTTGATCGCAAAAATCACAAAAAAAAAATCGTGAAATCCTGGAGGGACTGAACTGAGAGACGAGTCAAAATATATTTGTGCTAATAGATCTTAAATTATATTCAACCTAGAATATTCAAATAGTCCATGAATGCTGATGACCCAAAGCTGAAGTGTGCAGCTTCTTTGGGTTAGACTGACATAGTGAATGCTGACTCGCTCTGTGTGGTGATGTGTGTGTCAGCTGGACGACTAGCGAGTGGAACCCGTGTCCGGTGACGTGTGGCGGGGGTCTTCAGGTGAGGAGAGTGGAGTGTATGTCTCACGACTCTGCAGGATCGCGAGTGGTTGAGGATTCTCAGTGCGCCGCTTACGCTCCCAGACCTCTCAGCCAACGCAACTGCAACGTGCAGAAGTGCGCTCAATACAGCATTTCCGGCTGGAGTCAGGTATGTGTAATGACTGAATCTCACAAAACCTGCCTCACCAAAATAAAATAAAAACTCCAGTCCGTAACTTTTTTGGGTCCAAAATAAATGTTTGAGCAAATACATATCCAGCCAGTGTTTAAAACTCTCTGCTTGCCTTAGCTCGATTCAAAACGGTAAGCTTGTAATAATGTTTTTAACTCCAGTGGCTTTGGTGGATTACCTGGGTAATTCAAGCATGTTTTTGCTTCATTACGTCACATCTGTACACACACATCTGAGTGTGAGGATGTTGGAGGTGGAGATTTATAACCTTTTCTTACAGCACTTGATATAGACCATTTCACAAGATGTAAACAACACTGGTCCAGAAGCACTTCCTGTTTCCGTTTGTAACTGTTTTCTTTATTTCACATCTTAAAGATGTTTGTTTAACTTTTTGATTCAGTTTTAAATGTTCTGTTGGTTTTATTTTATCCCAGCTTTTATGTAGTGTTAAAAAACTGAAACAGGAAGTGCTTCTGGACCAGTGTTGTTTACATCTTGTGAAATGGTCTATATTTAACTTATCAATTTGATGGCGAATCTAGAAAGGTTCAAACGACAATCACCAACAGACTCATCCGCTGTGAAATGCACAAGACTTTAAAGTGGGTTGAATTGGGCAGCTTTAAAGGATTTAAAGGGTTAGTTCACTCAAAAATGAAAATTAAGTCATTAAGTACTCACCCCCATGCTGTACCAACCCCGTAAGACCTTCGTTCGTCTTCGGAACACAAATGAAGATATGTTTGATTAAATTTGAGAGCTGTATAACTACCACATTGGCTCCTAAGGGACTGCCTCTTGACGGCCCAGAAAGTCAATGAAGAAAATGTTTAAATATCCCAAGTGGCTCAACTATATGTTTATCAAGCGACGAGAATACTTTTTGTGCGAAAAAACAAACAAAAATAACGAGTTTATTCGACTATTCCTTTTCTTCCTTGTAGGCCAGAAACGAGATTTCCTTAGATTTCCACGACGCATGCGCGAGAATTGCGATCTCCTTACACTACTTCAGTTCAGTTCTCGCGCATGCGTCGTGGAAATCTATTGAAGTCTCGTTTCAGGCCTACAAGGAAGAAAAGGAATAGTCGAATAAACTCGTTATTTTTATTTGTTTTTTCGCACAAAAAGTATTCGCGTCGCTTGATAAACATATAGTTGAGCCACGGTAGTCACTTGGGATATTTAAACATTTTCTTCATTGACTTTCTGGGCCATCAAGAGGCAGTCCCTTAGGCAGCCAATGTGGTAGTTATACAGCTCTCAAATTTAATCAAAAATATCTTCATTTGTGTTCCGAAGATGAACGAAGGTCTTACGGGGTTGGTACAGCATGGGGGTGAGTAATTAATGACTTAATTTTCATTTTTGGGTGAACTAACCCTTTAAGAATAGTTATGGAGAACTCTGGCATCCTTCTGAAGGCTCTGTTGTTAGACCAGTATATAAACATATGCATACATACACTCTATTGCCACAAGTTTGGGGATGTCTGCCTTTACATGCACATGAACTTTAATGACATCCCATTCTTAATCGGTAGGGTTTAATATGGAGTTGGCCCGCCTTTTACAGCTTTAACAGCTTCAACTCTTCTGGGAAGGCTTTTAACAAGGTTTAGGAGTGTGTTAATGGGACCATTCTTCTAGAAGCGCATTAGTGAGGTCAGGCACGAGAAGGTCTGGCTCGCAGTCTCTGCTCTAATTCATCCAAAAGCTGTCAGGACAGTCAAGTTCCTCCACACCAAACTCGCTCATCCATGTCTTTATGGACCTTGATTTGTGCACTGATGCACAACAGCAACATCCCCAAACCATTCCCACAATGTTGGGAGCATGAAATTGTCCAAAATATCTGGGTATGCTGAAGAGTTTCGTTCACTGGAACTAAGGGGCCAACCCCTGAAAAACAACCCCGCACCATAACCCCCCCTCCACCAGACTGTACACTAGTTATAATGCAGGCAGACAAGAACCGTTCTCCTGGCAACCCCCAAAACCCAGACTCGTCCATCGGATTGCCAGACAGAGATGCGTGATTCGTCAGTCCAGAGAACACGACTCTGCTCAAGAGTCATCTATGCATCTTTACATCTATGTAAATGTTTGTAGAAGCGTCTGCATGCCTAGGTGCTTGATTTTATACAACTATGGCCATGGAAGTGATTGGAACACTTGAACTCAATGATTTGGAGAGGCGTCTCAATACTTCTGGCAATGTAGTGTATGTAAGGGTTTAACTGTTGATCAGATGTGTGTGAAAGTTGGGGTTCATAACTATAGCAACAGTATACTCCTGGTGCAGTGTTTAAAGGGGTCATAGACTGGCTTTTTAAATGTTATTATATTGTTGTCTGAGGTCAACTTATGACGTTCGCTTGGTTTTTGCATTCAAAAACATCAAAATGAATAAGTAATAGGCTATTTTCTACCCTAGTTTTCAGCCCAGCTCAGAAACGCTCGGTTTTTATGGGCGTCTCGCACTGAAGACTTGGAAGTAAACGCCCACTGCTGTGAGTGGATAACAGTTTTGCATATTATAATGAGTTTCAACTCACTCGTCGATGCCCTTGGGGGAAATTGTTTTGAAAACGTCCAATGTTGTAAAATGGCAACCGGAATGATTTACCCATACATGTTCGACCCAGAGTCCGTGTGTGTCAGATCCAATATAGACGGCACAGCACCGTTCTTTACTCTTAATCGGACTGAAAATCCAGTCTTGTTTACAAAACAATCCTTAGTGAAATGAAGCGAACAGACGGACGATGTTTTACCTCATTAGCTGGAACGTCATTACAAGTTTATCCATGCAGTCCTATTGGAATCCAGAGGAAGCTTATGCAGCGACTGTCTTCTTCCACAACCTGGCGCTGGACAATATTCTGTATTGCTCGGTAGATCGATCCGGTTTGTAAATCACGAGGTAGGCATCTATGTTATTTAGCTATGCGTGTAATGTGCGAATCGGTGGGCGGGGCTAAACCGTCCGTGTTGAAGTAGGCGTTGATCTTCTTCTGCGGGGGTGGGGTTTTATCCTCTTTGACGTCATAGTTCCCCACTTTGAAAAACGAGTCGTTTGCTGAGGCTGGTGTCAATAAAAGCTTTTATTGGACTAACAATGACGTTTTCAGTTCTGAAACTTACAGGATATTCTTATAATATGATGACCTCTTAGATGTCAAAAGCTCAAGGAAAATTTGATTTATCAGTTCATCAACCCTTTAAAATTAATGTCACAATGTGAAAACATCTTAGTGGTTCTTAAGTAGGTTTAATTTTCAAAAACATTACTAGTATGCCATTGCTTCAAATTGAGACATGTTGATGTTTTTGTAGTGTTCTGTGACATGCGGCTCTGGGAAACAGACGCGAGATGTAGTGTGTGTGGGTTCAGACGGAGCTTCTCTGGAAGACTATGCATGCGGGACTCAACCAAAGCCACCCAGGACACAGGACTGTGAGATGCCCGTCTGCAGGAGCCCCATTGGCTGGCATATAGGAGACTGGGGCCTGGTGAGTAATAATCCACTCCTTAAAGGCACAATATGTACGATTTTTGGATTCAAATATCCCCCAAAAAAAACACTAGAACAGTGTTATTTATTGTGTTGACTTGTGTACTTCCATTATCCCAGATGTTTCCAATAATGTTCAAATCCAGAGAAATACGCAATTTTAACCACGGGCTGTGTCATGGCGTCGCCTATCAATGACATTATACCCGCGCTACCCTCGACTTCCAGTTATATTATGCAGAAACCATGGAAAAAACAAAGACACTTAAATATATGATATGTTTTATTGGACAAGGGAACAACTGTTTTATGGAAGCTTGTTTCCGTCACTGAATAAAAAAATATAATAAATAATTGTGACTTTTTATCTCACAATTCTGACTTTTTTTCTCACAATTCTGACTTTTTTTCTCACAATTGCGAGTTTATATCTCACAATTCTGACTTTATTTCTCAGAATTGCGTGATATAAAGTCGCAATTGCGAGTTATAAAGTCAGAATTGCGAGATATAAAGTCAGAATTGTGTGATATAAAGTCGCAATTCTGAGAAAAAAAGACAGAAGTGTGACTTTTTTTCTCACAATTGCGAGTTTACATCTCGCAATTCTGACTTTATGACACATAATTGCGAGTTTATATGTCGAAATTCTGACATCTTTTCTCAGAATTGTGAGATATAAACTCGCAATTGCGACTTATTAGGCCAATTCTAAGGGGGAAAAAATACTAACTTTTTCCCCCCTCAGAATAGTTTAAATCTCACAATTCTGACTTTATATCATGCATTTCTGACTTTATAACACGCAATTGCGACTTTATATCTCACAATTCTGACTTTATATCTCGCAATTCTGACTTTATAACTCGCAATTCTGACTTCATATCTCGCAATTCTGACTTTATATCTCGCAATTCTGACTTTATAACTCGCAATTCTGACTTTATAACTAGCAATTCTGACTTTATATCTCGCACTTGCGACTTTATATCACGCAATTCTGACTTTATATCTATATCACGCAATTCTGACTTTCCATCTCGCAATTCTGAGAAATAATGTCAAAATTGCGAGAAGTAAACTCACAATTGTGAGAAAAAAAGTCTGAATTGTGAGATAAAAAGTCGCAATCACCTTTTATATTTTTCATTCAGTGGCGGAAACAAGCTTCCATACTGTTTAAATACATTAATCGACAGAAAACTAATTGTTATACCGTCCAAACTGAATCGCTTGTTTTCTTGATTTTGCGCAAGTACCATGCCTCAGGGAAAAACACTATTTTGTCAAGTGGCTAACACAACATAATCAGTCACAGCTTTATTTTTAGTAACAGTAATGCAGCATCATCTCTGTCATACAATATGTTTTCAAATGAATTGCTTGCCATTTAGCAACACTAGTCGTCCAGCATTTATTAAAATGACATTGTAACAAGTGTCTCATAGCAGCCGCCGAGCGAACGCACAGAGCAACGTTATGACATCATTTTCAACACACACATGTGAATGATAAAAGAAGAAGCTGAAGAGGCGTCTCCACTGCTCTCGAAGCGTGTGTCGTGCTCGTCTCTCATTAGCAATCGCTATCGTTATGACATGTCATGAAGGTGTTGTGCATGTTTATGACAACTGTCATTCAGTGTCATTTGCTCAATTGTGACATTTTTAATGCAAATATGACATTGTCTTTGTTATGACAACTTGACACAAACCAATACATCATAACCTGTCAGTGTCTTTATCATGACAACTTGACAATACTAAGACAACACAACCTGTCATAAACATGACATAGCAGATTAATTATCAAACTTAAGAAACCCCTTAGCTTTATGGGATAACATTACATTAAACTGTCATGTGGTTGGTTTTGACATTGCACTGTAAGTTGAGAAAACTTAAAAGTTTAAGGCAACCAGCTGCAGGACATCTTTGAGTTTCCTCAACTTAGGGTCATTAGTTGTACAAACTTTTTCATGTTAAATAGTTGATTAAACTTTAAAAACAGAATTTTTCAAACAAAATGTAAGTTGGATTTTTTACCGTGTGGCTATCATGATGTATTATATGATAGGGGTGGGTAATAAATATCGATTTCTCTATATTAATCGATTCTCATTTTTACGAACCGATATCGATTCTTAAATCTCAAGAATCGATTAGTCATCCTGTTTCATTTAAATGAATGAGACATTGTATCGCGGCTGCGCGCATCCAAAACATCGCAATAATCTTTGTCCTTTGTTACTATTGATATGAAACAAAGTCTCAATTTTCTAATTACGTCCATTTTCTTTAGAAATTCAAAAACATAAATAGCGTTTTGTCGCTGTGGCGTGAGATCGCTCTGGAGAAGCAGCAGCGCTGATCTCTCTTCCGGCTTAATAATAACAGTCACAGCGCCAAATAAACATGAACGAGCATCTGAAAGTGTGTTAAAGATAGAGTACAACTTATCCAAATCCGTATCATGTTACATTGATTCACTCAATCAGCGTTTCAACCGTGGAAAGACGTCAATTAAACAGCTTATAATCAATGTCATGTATCGTCATATTTACCTCAGAAAACCCACATAAACTCGTTAGTCCACACTCGTTAGTGTTCTTCAATATTTAATGCATATTTGAATAAATCTGGCAAGTTTTTATGACAGCCACCATTTAAATGTTTGTATTTCATATAATCTTCTTATAATAAAAATAAATAAAAGTGTAATTTAAGTGTTTGTATAGCTACAAAACAGTTCATTATTACCTTCATATTAGGCTAACGAAGCCTAGTAGGCTACAACTAGACTATATTTATAGACCATAGTTCACAGCATTTAAGAGATTTTATTCCCTTGAGAAAAATTGCCATTTATTGTAACTGATATCCAAAATAATCGATATTGAATCGAATCGTAATCGAAATCAAATCGAATTGCAAGCTTGTGAATCGAAATCGAATCGAATTGTGAAATTTGTCTCAATACCCAGCCCTATTATATGATGTATTGGTTTATGTCAAGATGTCATAACAAAGACATCTCAGACAATGTCATATTTGCATTAAAAATGTCATAATTGAGCAAATGACACACTTGCATAAAACCTCCTCCATATTCATGTCATGATTAGGAAGGTGTCATGTCAGTCTTTTGCATACCCCTTCACGTAAAGCGTAACCTATTATGTCTGCCCGAGTCCCATTGGATTCTTTTCCACCGGCTGTGAGGTGAAGACAACTCTCATTATTCTGCGCTCAATCTCGGCGTCATCAAACTATGCCTTTGTTTTCAATAGGCAAGGCAAGTTTATTTGCATAGCACATTTCATACACAATGGCAATTCAAAGTGCTTTACATAGAAGAAATTAAAATAATCCAAAAAAGAAATCAGAATAATTAAAACAGTTTAGAATAAAAAATAAGAAATAATGAAAAATAAAAATTAGGATAAAAATAAAATACAGTAAATTAAAACCATTTAGAATAATGGCGACCTCTAGTGGTGAAAAACGACATATGGTGCCTTTAAGTACAGACAAACCTTTGGAAATGTGTGCATCCTCCCTCTTAATTACCCTCATAACCTTATCTGCTCTCTCAAGTGCTCAAAGAGCTGTGGCTCGGGGCTGCGGGAACGACAGGTGATCTGTTCAGACAGACAGAGAAACCTGTACAGGGTAGAGGAGTGCCAGGCCAAACCCAAACCTCCCACCGTTGAAAGCTGCAACGCTCAGCCTTGTTACAGGCCTCAGGGTACACAACACCTCTACATATCTCACATGCGCCTCAGCACATTCATTTTATATGCTCCCGAGATTTGCACTCATGGTAACAGACACATATTTACTCAGCTATCTAAATGGGGACATTGCATAGACGTCTAATGTTTATTTATACATACATATATATATATATATATATATATATGAAGAGTTCAGATGCAAAAGCCTCTAAATGCCATTTGAAATTTTCTTCTAGAATGATCATTTTTATCAAACTTGTATAACTAAGTTCAGTAATTTCACTTAAATGACAATTAATAGGTAATCCTCTTTGCCATTTAAGTGAAATTACTGAACTTAAATATACAAGCCTGATAAAAATGATCATTTTAGAAGAAAATTTCAAATGGCATTTAGAGGCTTTTGCATCTGAACTCTTCATATATATATATACAGGTAGTTATAAATACTATAGGCTAACCCTAAGAGAAAACTTTCTGCATTTTTACAATTTAAGAATAGAAAACTTGCTTTTGAAGATTTTGTCAGGTTTAATTCACTTACAGGTACAGAAGTAGGTAAATCACTGCATAACCATCTAACACATGATGCATGATGATCTCAAAATATGTTTACTGACTTGTGTAGAGTTTTATGTTTCTCACAGTATTATTTCTGAAAGATCATGTGACACTGACACTGGAGTTAATGGTGCGGAAAACGTAGCTTTGCATAACAGGAGTACATTACATTTGAAAATATATTAAAATAAAAAGCAGTTATTTTAAATTGTAATATCATTTCACAATAATACTGTTTTTACTATATTTTTTGATCAAAATGGCTATTACATATGCAATGACCAAATAATCATATAATAACATATGAAGAGTTCAGATGCAAAAGCCTCTAAGTGCCATTTGAAATTTCCTTCTAGAATGATCATTTTTATCAAGCTTGTATATTTAAGTTCAGTAATTTCACTTAAATTGCAATGAGGATTACCTATTAATTGTCATTTAAGTGAAATTACTGAACTTGAATATATAAGCTTGATAAAAATGATCATTTTAGAAGAAAATTTCAAATGGCATTTAGAGGCTTTTGAACTCTTCATATATATATAGAATAAAAAAATGCATGAATACATTTTATAACATTTAAAAAACACACACTTTTGCATGTTTGTACCGACATTCAGACGAGATAGAAGTGATTCTGACTTTAGTGTTCTCTGACTCTCTCTCTCTCTCTCTCTCTCTCATATATTGGTATGAACAGAGGTGCCCAGCATGCAGGACCCGACAGGTCATGATAACACCATTCAGGGCTTCCTGCCGTATGTCCTTGAGGATCCCTCACTAGGTTTGTTCCTGAAATAGTTGGATGGTATGGATGGCATCTTTCCATCCATACACGACATGTTTTTTTTCTCATTGTAGGCTTATCTTGATCTGGGGCCGTATAAAACTTCTCAAAAATGCTCTTGAGAATAGGCTTAAGACCGTGTGTCCACCAAAGTGTTTTTATCCAGCTGAAAACGTTAGAGGCTCTGCTGAAGACACTGTGCTTTGGGCGCTTGAGAGCGTTTTTTCCGTTGAGACGTTTCGTTGCTATGATACAGAATATACGCGGCACAGTTTACTTGAAACTGATTTCGTATATAATTTGTTTCATGCTAAAAAATTATTTTTCATCCATTTTGTTCGGTTAGCTCTGCTGGTTGATGTTGTTGTACTGAAAGAATGTTGTGACAGTTGGTCAGTGTTGTTTAGTCCCGCCCCTCCTCCACTGTGATTGGACGGATGGGTAAAAAGTGAAAGTGATGAGCGCTGCGTTTTATCCAAAGTTGAAAATTTTTCAACTCTCGGCGACCAGTAAAAAACGAAGAAGAGAAAAAAACGCTCAGCGCCTCGTTACGCTCACTCATGGCGTTTAAAAAACGCGACGCTCCCATTGAAAACAATTAAAAACATACGCCAGGCGCGTGGAAAAATGCTTTGGTGGACACACGGCCTAAGTTTTGAATTGAGTGTTTGCACGGTTTGAAGATCAGTTGGAAAGTCAATGAACTGCCACACTGTAGGGGTCAAAAGTGTTGACCAGCTTTGGAAAATTGATGTTCACACTTTATAAAATATTTTATAAATATTAGTTTAAGATTTTGTAATCAAATTGTGATTTTTGGGTAGGATGTCATAGAAATAAATCATGAACACACACACACACACACACACACACAAAAAATGAGGTCCGACGTCCAAAATCCTGAACCATCCCTTTAACAAATTAGCCTGGGTGTTACGTATCAGTGAAGACAATTTTCAAAATATGTCATCCAGTCCTTCCAGTTCTCTCAACAATAATTACATCTTGTTATATTTTATGTGCTTTTGGTGTACTGTGTAGTGGGTAAAACTGTTTTTAATGGCAGGCTAACAGTTACCGTTGACTCGTGCTAGCCTAGCACCGGCGAACTATGCTACTGGAACGACTGGATGAACTTTTTTGAAAACTGTCTCCACTGATAAATAACACCCAGGCTAACTTGGAAATGAGGTCCCATGTCCAAAATCCTGAACCACCCCTTTAATAACTAATTATGTTGTAGTCAGTGTATGCTTTTTCTTGTGCGCCTTTGCTTTTTCTATACATTTTTGGTAACGCTTCCTTTTACAGTACAGTACTTACAGTGTACTTACCTAGAAAGTGGAACAGGGGACATGGAACAAGGGTAGGTTCAGGGTTAGTACTAGTTATTACCCAGTAATTGTAGTTACTAAAATAAGTACATAGTATTTACATGGCTAACTGGACTGTAAAAGGAAGCATTACCACATTTTTATTGCATTTTTTTTTTTTTGCATAGTAAAATAAAACATGTAGCTGTAGTGTCTTTTTGCCAAATAATTTTGATAGATACATGCCTTAAAGGGTCATGAAACCCCCCTCTTTCAGCTCAAGTCTAGCTCAAAATCTTTTTGAAAAATGCAACTGAAATGGGCGTGGCTAGCTGTGAGAAGAAGGGAGGGAGTGGGTGTTGTATGACCATCACTGTCACTGTCCCATGCATTTCGACTGTCCCTAAAAAGCAATGGTAAAACGTGAGGAAATGCTAGATTTTTATATAGCTGGCAAAGTTAAAGTCTTATGAAGTACACTGACACTTTATAATCGTCCTTTCAAAAGTAACTGAATGTCCTACTACAAATATTAGCCTACAGTAATCGTAATTCTAATTAAAACATATTAATGTAGGCTACATGTATATTTATAATATAATTATAAAATATATAGTGGTTTATATAGACACTATAAACACATTTCAGAAAAAAAATGATTAATTTTCCGCTTAAAAAAATCGTTCCGTGCATAGTCATAGACAGTAAAAGAAAGTGCATAGTCTACGCGCCCTCTGAACCCTCATAATAAATGACTTCTCATTTTACACACACACACACACACACACCTCTGAAGGGATAGAAAGTCCTCGGGATACCGCATCACTCGCAAGACGCAACTTGGATTAGTTGTCAACAAGGCGAAGTCCATCATTCTCCACTTGTCGCAGCTCTCTCGCAAAAATGTTCGCGGCACACACTAAAGTTTGGATTAGGTTTAGACGTGTCCGTGTTTGATGGCAAACCAACCGTCCAGAGCCAGAGTCCAGCCCTGGCAGCATCGCGGGAACATATTCAACGCACTTGGACTTTGCACCATGAAAACAAATAGTTTGCGTCCCATGATTGCCTCTCTCATCTTAACGTTACTACGCGATATCACAGTTTGTCATGTCTGTCGTTGGAAAGATCCACGTGGTGTCATGAATAATTAAGAGGCCGTGTCTTTTCATAGGATAACACCGATGAGTCATCAACGCACTGTGCAGTGCACTGCACGTCACCCGCTACAATGAAGATTTTAAACCCGGAAGACGAAAAAAGCGGAAAAAACCTCAAATTTAACCATTTTAACCTTATTATTAAATCTAACAGATGTTAACATTGTCTTCAATGGTGTTCAACACACAGACCTCTGTTATAATCTCAGAAAATTTGGTTTGGGGTTTCATGACCCTTTAATCAAGTTTAGTTCTTCCCTCATATTTAACCTATTTAAAAAAAAAAAAAAATTAAATATTTTCCTCATATTTTAATGGTTTAAGTAAAGGGTGTCCATTCCTGCTCCTGGAGGACCACTGTGCTGTGGAGTTTAGCTCCAAGCCTAATTAAACACCTAAAGCAGCTAATCAAGGTCTTACTAGGCATACCGTTGGAGCTAAACTCTGCAGGACAGTGGTACTCCAGGACTGAGTTTGGACACCTGTGGTTTAAGCAAGTTTTATTATTAAAAAGAAATATCCCTTCTTACTGTGGCTAAGTCATCACCAGTGCACTGCTGTATTTTTTTTCCAGTCGCCAAAAATATCATCATTACTTTCATTTCTGCAGTAAAAGCATTGATTTGTAGGGCATTGATTTTTAGGAGAAGTTATTACACAACGGATGTTGGTGCCAGCTCAGACACCTGGTCAGACATTGCCTGCGGTTGGTTCTGGTTTGCAGTCCATGGGGCCGTGGCTGATAACTGACTGGGCTCTTTGATGTCCACTGGGTGATTTGACGCTGGGATTGCTGGAATGGTCACATATCCCAATTCTCTCCAATTCATCCCAATCCCAATTCACCCCTTGCCCCTACCGCTTGGCCCTACCCCTCCGTTTTGCGCATTCACGTCTAGGGCTAGGGATTCCCGATTCTTGTTGAGATCGAGGGGTAGGGCGAAGGGGTAGGGCTACATAGCCCTCGAAATGGAGATTTTTCAGAGGCACGCTCCAAACGGAGGGCTAAGAGAAAGTTGCGGAATGTATCGCAATCACCAGCGAGATGGCTTCGCAAACGGTTAAACATTTAAATTTAGCGCCAGATGACACCACCATACACTTTATTTACTCTTACAATAATATTTTTGTCATTTAAATGAAGAAATTGTACAATAAAGTATCAGAAAAGACATACATTTCGAGGAAGGAATGTTATAATCATCATGTTTCCTCAAAGTTAAGAGCAGCTGTGCTGATTGTCAGTCGTTGTCATAGAGAAATCCTGTACAAACTCTGTAACGGTAGAGCCATCGCAGATGACTGATGACGTATCGGGTTCATGAAGGGTTGTTCCATTTCGGAGGGAAATATTTCAACCCCTTGGCCCTTGTAACTCTGTTTTAATGGCCAAGGGGTACACTCGAAAACAAGGGGTAGGGCCAAGGTGAGCCATAGTGTGGCATAGGCTTCCTCCTCCACAGTTAAGGCCATTGCACACTGAGTCTAAAATTGGCAGCCGAAATTTTCGCACGTAAAAAAAAAAAAAATCGACCTCACTTTATGTCAATCACGCTTGCACACCGCCTCCGAAACTTTCGTCCGTCATAAAAAAAATTCGGATCGGGTTCTATTTTCTGCGTTTTTCGCATCCATTTTCGCATTCGCATTTTGAGAGGTTTTTGGACAATTTAGGGCCGTGGGGAGCTCGTTTACTGTCTATGGAGCTCGTTCCGCACATCATTGCACACATGCACAGTGCTTTCAGTTTCGGTTTTCAATTCGATCAAGTGTGTTCTCTTCCCTCGATTGGATTATGAAAGGAAAAAACTTCCCCTTTCAATCAGATTGAAATTTCGGATCGAATAAGGTGTGATTGAGTAGCCAATTTGATAATGTATTATTTGGGCACAATATATAACAACCGTTCTATCTGCCCAGCGCTTCCACCGGGCCGCGCGTGTGTGTGTCCTGTCCATACCTTAGACACACTGCCAGTCTCTGTTCTGAATCGATTGGTTCACAGAAATTGGTGGTCTTGTTTTTAAAATGTGGCTCTAGAATCGCAAGCAAAGCATCAAACTGTCCCACTGACATTCTGAGGTAAATTTTGAATCATTCGGGATAAATTCGCAACTCGTTGATAAGGAGGTGCTTCCTCTCGGCGTAATTTCAGGATTGTATGGACGCAATATTTTCTCTTCTCTTTTCAATAAGAGAGAGGGCAACAAAATCATCCTCACTGCTTGACGAATCCATTTTGTATTTTTGCGTTTTTCCCCGCAAAGGTTTAATAAATACACATCGGACTCAGTGTGCAAGGTTTCTGTGCGTGACGAATTTTTAGGCTGACGAACACGAAAAAACACATACGAAAATTTCGGACTCAGTGTGCAATGGTCTTTAGGGGTGAACCAGTCACCCACAACAGATACTTGACGTAGTGGAGTTACAAACAACTGCTTTTTCCCATTGGCATTTTTTGAAGGAGTTTGTTGTCTCGACAAAATCCTCTATTGGCTGTCCTCCCTGATACAGAGATTGGAGCTGGTCCTTGGGCTGGATGGCGTCTGCTTCATGTTTTTTTGGTTCTGGTGTTGTCTCATGTTTCAGCCAAGAAAGGAGAAGAGAGTTGAGGATCTTCAAACAGAAGACTTTATTTAAGCAAACAAAAGAAGCCAGGAAATTCATCAGTTCACTTTGTAAAACAAAGACAATACAAGACAGAGGAAGGAAACATATCAAGTTACGACTGTACCCATGATTCCTTGAGAAGGGTATGAGATGCTGCGTCGGAAGTAGCAAAGTAGCACTGACAACAAGAGACGAAACATGGAGCAGGAATGTCCCACTCTTCACACTGAACCGAATCCGAACTAGACAGAAGTGTTGGGATACGAACACCAAGCCCTGCGTATACAACTGAGTGAACATGGAACCGCACTTTCACAATGACAAGACAGTAGGGGAGTCAGGGCTCTGTCACCATACAATAATAAACCACACCAAGGTGACAGAACCACTGACACAAATGTACATATAATTGGGAAAGACATTATGTATTCCCACCATCCAATTACTAGTACAATGTATAAACTTTTCTTCTGTCCATTGACAAATCTGATCAAATGTGTTTAGGATCCTGTAATAAGTTGTTTAATAGATGACATTCAAGTATCAGACACTTTCTGTTTTTATGAAGCTCTTTGTCTGAAAACATTTAATAAGGTCATTGTTATTCTTTATTATCTAACACAACAGACACTCATCAAAACAATCCAGTCCACAATCCTTATGGCACAACTCTCACCCATCACTGTAGCCAGACTCAATATGGCTGCTGTCCTGATGGAAGTACCTCAGCCAGTGGACCTCAGTACCAAGGCTGTCCCCAGGACCAAGGCATAGCATCCTGCACATGGAGCAGGTACACATGGACGTGGATACGTCTATTACAGACTATTTGCTTTAACAGAAATGTACATCAACACTTCTTTCAGGTACGGCTGTTGTCATGATGGTGTGACCATTGCCCAAGGCCCCAACAAGGAAGGCTGTCCAGATTCATGGCCACACTGGTCTCCAACAGTGAGTATTTCTAGAGACCACATTCCTTCGTGTGCCAGTTATCCCTAAACTCTTAAAAACCTTATTACCTTTTGTTTTACTTATTTGGAAATTACCAGTCGCACTGAAACATTAAACATGCATAATACTCGATGATAATCATTCACATTAAACCATTTAGATTCTTGGGTGAGTTTTTGGTGATCTTCGCATGGGAGAGAAGGAGTGGGGGATGTGTTATGAAGAGGGAGGATAGACGAACCCAAAAGCAGACTGATTGCTCAACACAGAATTTATTCAAGACAAAAAGGGGAAAACAAAGCCCACGAGGGGGCAAAACAAGACTGGGTAACAAACACTAGACTTAAACTGAGGTCAAGACAGGAACAATACTAAGACACAAACAGACTCTGGATTAACAGTTAACTCAAGGGATTACTCACTGCAAACTTCACAAAACAATAAACAGATCTCACAGCAGGTATCAAACAATGAACCGACCCAGGACAGCAAACATAAGGGGATTATAAAGGGGAACACTAATGACCAGGACAGGTGAAACTGACTAGACAATAATCACAAGACTAGGATAACAAGGGGGCGGGGTAAGTTAACGAGACAACACAAGCACATGGCCCAAACAGGCCATGCGCTTGCACACAAAACATGATTCTGTCATGATCCTGCCTCACGACTAGAGAAAATCAAAGACAAGAAGGCAGAATCATGACAGAACCCCCACCTTAAGGAGCGGCTTCCAGACGCTCCTCAAGGGGACATTAAACACGGGACATGACAGACTGTGACAAAGACACAAACCAACAGTACATAGCAAAAACTAACAAAGGCATACAAAAATACACAACGACAGGATTGGGGTGAAACATCAAAAACAACATACAAGGCAGAGGAGGTGGAGGAAACACAGAGTCTTTGAGCGACTGTCCAGGGTGGGTGGGCGAGACAGGGGTCCTGGGACCACGGGGAGTGGACTTCGGATGAGAGGACCGAGCAGGCTTGGGAGGAGTGGTGTGGGACAAGGGAAAAACAGTCCGGGGTTGAGCCATGACAGGGGAGACAGGGGAAACAAACGGAAGTCCAGGGACTGTGGGGACAGGGACAAATGGGGAAACAGTCCGGGGCCGGGGTTGAGCGCAGACAGGACTGACCGGGGAAACACACGAGGTCTTGGGAACAGTGGAAGTCACAACAGGGATAGCAACTGGGGGTACAGCGAACGATGGACACGAAGCTGGACTCATGACGGGGGGTGTGGTAGGAGATCGCAGAGGGAAAACTGGGACAGAGCTCACCGAAGGTGACTCTGATCCGACGATCAACCTCTCCGACTTGGGAGTGGTGTTCTCCGCTGCAGGTTCAGGGACAGCGCCTACAGACATAGGTTCAGGGACAGCACTTACAGACACAGGTTCAGGAACAGCGCTTACAGACACAGGTTCAGGCACAGCGCTTACAGCAGCGGGTTCAGGGACAGCGCTTACAGACACAGTGGGCTCGGGACAAGACAGGACAGGCACTTCGAGGATCTTGATCAGACTGGACAAATAGTCAGACAGGGTCTTGGCAGCCAGAGAGATGGGCATCTCCTGACGAGCAGAAACCGACTGCAGAATCTCTCTTGCGGCTAGATCGGCCGCAACTCTCTCCGCAGTGGGCTCTGGGACGGCGCCTGCTGGAGCGGGCTCTGGGACGGCGCCTGCTGGAGCGGGCTCTGGGACGGCGCCTGCTGGAGCGGGCTCTGGGACGGCGCCTGCTGGAGCGGGCTCTGGGACGGCGCCTGCTGGAGCGGGCTCTGGGAGAGACAGAGACAGAGGACCAGAGGCTCCCTTCTTCCTCTTCTTCTTCCTGGGTCGTGGAGCAGAGGACATAGCCAGGCTTGTGACCGGTTGGGGAAGCACGGCAGGAAGTGTAGTCTCAGTTGAAGAGGACTCCGAAGTAGACTCCCACGACAGCCGTCTCTCTCGCTTGCCACGGAGACTTGCGGGTGCAGCTGATGCGTCGGGAGCCGAAGTGGAGTGAGCCTGGTTCCCCTGCGTAACCACGGCTAAAATGTGACCCTCCGGGATCACTGGCAGCCTGGCAGGTGGTGACAAGCTTGTGGGTGTCTGTGACTCTCTCCGGGATAAGCTATCCACCACAGCTTGAAATGGGCGACGAGTGAGCTCCTCCCGTTCAGTCAACGGAGGTGGAGAGTTGAGACCGGCGATGAAATAGCGAGAAACCAGGACCTCAGGCAGGAAGAATCTCCTTTCTTCAACGACTTGAGCATACTTCTGCAGGGACAACTCACCCTGGGGAGGAAATGGAAGTCTTCCAGCTCTACTATCTGCGATGGCCGACTGCCACCATAATTCTTGGTCAGCCGGTTGTGGTCTATTGGGGAAAGACAAACAGTCTGCTGGGTTCTTTTCGGGTCGGTTCATTCTGTTATGAAGAGGGAGGATAGACGAACCCAAAAGCAGACTGATTGCTCAACACAGAATTTATTCAAGACAAAAAGGGGAAAACAAAGCCCACGAGGGGGCAAAACAAGACTGGGTAACAAACACTAGACTTAAACTGAGGTCAAGACAGGAACAATACTAAGACACAAACAGACTCTGGATTAACAGTTAACTCAAGGGATTACTCACTGCAAACTTCACAAAACAATAAACAGATCTCACAGCAGGTATCAAACAATGAACCGACCCAGGACAGCAAACATAAGGGGATTATAAAGGGGAACACTAATGACCAGGACAGGTGAAACTGACTAGACAATAATCACAAGACTAGGATAACAAGGGGGCGGGGTAAGTTAACGAGACAACACAAGCACATGGCCCAAACAGGCCATGCGCTTGCACACAAAACATGATTCTGTCATGATCCTGCCTCACGACTAGAGAAAATCAAAGACAAGAAGGCAGAATCATGACAGGATGAGGGAAAGAAATGTAGGTTAGGTCAGACTTTTGTCTCAAATGGTGAGTTCAAATGGTAATTTCCAGAGTGGTCATTCCGCAACCAGTTCTTCCACTTTTTCCAGTTTTAAACTGATATCAAATTCGGCTGGTATGATCCAGAACAGTCTTCCAGTAGTTATGTTCTTGTCCAGTCTTTGCCTGTTCCATTTTGTTTCCATTTAGCAAATGTACAAAGAAGCTCCTTCAGTTTTCATTACAGTAAGCATTATGTGTCCTCAATAGTCAGTGGTGGATGATGGTAGAGGTAACATATTCTCACAGAGTGCAGTCCTAACTCACTTGCCTGCTTGTTGTGAAATCAACTCAAACTTTAGCACTTTCAAAACCACAAGGTAAACCAAAGTGCTGTATATAATAAAGGAAACAATTACACAAAACACTGCTTAAAATACCAAACTATAACCAACAAGCTAAATCAGCATACCCATTATAACCTTAATTTAGCCTGGCAAGCCATACCTATCAAGATGTTAGGTCTGGGAACTCACAATTGGCATACCGTACCTCAATCCGAGGGGCGGGATAAAAGGTTGTCTTTCAATATCCCTCTGCATGCCATGGGATAGCGCTAACCAACCAGAGCAATGAATGGCTGTGGATGAGTGAGTCATGAGTGAGTCCCATGCGTTTTCCCCATGGTTTTCTCTCCAGCGGAGCAAGTTGATATTGAACTTTTGCCGTATCCGGTCGTCAAAACTCTGAACACATCTTCCTTTTTTAAGAATGACTTAAGTGACATTCTCTTAACTCCAAGTCATCCGAGTCGCGGCCAAAAGCCGAATCGAAAGACCGCTGTTCGCCAGCAGCGTCTTGTTTGTTTTCAAGTATCAAGGAAATCACCTATGGAAATCACGGCGCAGAACCGTCACAACTCTGCCGTCATTGTGTTAAGCCCGCCCACCAACTCTATACACGATGTGATTGGCCGGACCAGAGTTTGGTTTTTCCACTTCGAAAGCCAACGGAGAGTTGCTAGACCACACTTTGCTGCAAAATAATTTTTGCTGCCGCTAGGGTGCGTCTAGATTTCTAGGCTAACCTTAATTGCTAATGAAAATAAATGTCCTAAGACTGCTTTTAAAAACATCAATTGAGTCAGCAGATTCAATTGTAAGGTCCACCCAATTGGCCCAACGACGGTCTCCAAGGGTGTGGCTGAAAGTTGCCTGTGCATTCTGTCTTTTCAAAGAAATTTAAAAGTAATTTTGTTCCAGTTAAACTTTGATCTGATCATAACCTCAAATTTAGGTTGGATACTAATTGATTGTTGGCCATTTATTACACGGTTCTGTGGAATATTTGATTCTGATCGGTTGATTACACCACCACCTTTCAGGCAAACTTATACCTGTGAAAGTGCACTGAAACGGCAGCCAAACCTGTGACTTCCCACCCGTGAACTCGCACTAGATCAATGTATTCCCAGTTACGAGCTCTGACGTCACATAGCCCGCAAAACCATACAAAACAACAATGGCAGCCTCTACGGATGCAGTGTTTCTGCAGGTGGTACACAGTGAGAATACACTTGTTGAGTAGTTCACTTTTAAAAAAAAAACTTTTCCTGATAATTTTCTCACCCCCATGTCATCCAAGATGTCCACGTCTTTCTTTCTTAAGTTGAAAAGAAATTAAGGTTTTTAATGAAAACATTCCAGGATTTTCTCCATATAATGGACTTCAGTGGGAACCAAACGGTTCAAGGTCCAAATGAGAGTTTCAGTGCAGCTTCAATGGGCTTTAAACGACGATGAATAAGGGTCTGATCTAGGACCCTTCGAGTCATGACTTGAAAAAAGATTTGTTCATTTTGATGAACGAGTTCGAATACAAGAGTCACAAACGCGCATCACAGAACAGAGCAAGGCGAGCATTTGAGCTTATAAAACTTAAACTTTGTTATTTATTTTTGAAATGGACGATCATTTCGCTTGATAAGACCCTTATTCATCGTCTGGTGTTGTTTAAAGCCCTTTGAAGCTGCACTGAAACTCTCATTTGGACCTTGAACCGTTTGGTTCCCATTGAAGT